CAAACTACAGGAGAGGGCGGAGACCAGACCAGTCTCCCTGCACAAGGAGAGAGCAGCAGTGACTGGTCTTTATTACAGGAAGCTCCTGCACAGAGGTAAAGTTTTACACTGGATCACTACACAGATCTGAAGAAATACAGAAAGCACACCAAGATTCAAGGAAGAATACAAATGACTCATTTATTTAGACAATATTTGTTCAATGGAGTATAAAGAAAATAACTTTGTGAACACACTCTTGGTGCTTTAGGCCTCATGTACACAGGGCATTTATGGAGCCACTTTTAGGGGCTGCTTCCAAACGGCACTCTAGGGTATCCTTTGTGTCCATGCACACATAGACTTTTATTGGATTCAAAGAAAAACAGAGGGCGCACCGGCCTAGGCCTATCGAAAAAAATGTATTGGAGGGATAAAAAGCAAGTATTGTACTCAAAATAGGCAAACAGGCACCAAGGTTGGTGGCTCTGAGGAAAAGGTTGAGACCTCGAAACGCGTTAGCATGGTGGGAGTCCAGGGTTCCATTTTTTTTACTTATATGCAATGTGGATTGGACACCGCTGTTTAGCGTGATGTGCCTTTGACCTGTTTGCCTATTGCGAGTACAATACTTACTTTTTATCCTTCGAATACATTTTTTACGATAATGCACTAGGCCAGTGCGCCCCCTCTTTGTTTTTCTTTGTATCCAGTGACATTGAACTACCCCGGTGCGTTGAAGGCAGCAAGGAGTGCATTTTCCAGGATATCTGTGATGTTACCATAACCCAGTGTTTCTCAACTCCACTCCTCATGGACCCCTAACAGGTCATGTTTTCAGGATTTCCCTCAGATGAAACAGCTGTGGTAATTACTAAGGCAGTGAAACTGATCAAATCACCTGTGCAAAATAATGGAAATCCTGAAAACATGACCTGTTGGGGGTCCATGAGGACTGGAGTTGAGAAACACTGCCATAACCCTAGCCGAGTCCATCCTGAAGCGCAGGAGTACAGAGTTTGCTGTGCACACATAGACTTTTAGAAGCTTTTAGTAGCAGTAGCGTTTGCCAGCAGGAAAAAAACCAAGGGTCAGTGCGTCCAGGAGCAGCAACATTTTGGCAGAAAAACGCTTGACGCGGCTAAACGCATCAAAATGCTAGGTGTGTATAGCACTTGAGTGTTAATTGATTTCAATGGCCAGAATAAATTATCTCTCTGGCCAATGAAATGAATTAACGCCCACACTTAATGTGCCTAAACGCTTGTAAAAGCGTTACATAGTTTTACAAGTGTCAGGCGATTTTTGCAGCAAAAACACCTCTGCCACGAGGGCAGCTTCTAGGAGAGGTTTTTTTTTTAACATCCTGTGTGCACGAGGCCTTAGAGTTTTTAAAAGTTTTAAAAAATATACTTATTTTTTTTCCTTTATTTTTATGTCCATAAAAATGTGCAGCAGTCAGAAATAATACCCAATTCTAATGCCATTCCGGAGTACCTAAGGGCTCAGGTGTCATATACCTACTTGGTATTTTGAGATTAGTTCTGAACATGGGTGATGGAATTTATGTTGGTAGCTCATGGACACTGACTACACACCTGACTACACTACACCTGACTACACTACTCCTGACTACACTACTGACTACACTACACCTGACTACACTACACCTGACTACACTACTCCTGACTACACTACACCTGACTACACCTGACTACACTACACCTGACTACACTACACCTGACTACACTACACCTGACTACACTACTCCTGACTACACTACACCTGACTACACTACACCTGACTACACTACACCTGACTACACTACTCCTGACTACACTACCCCTGACTACACTACACCTACTACACCTGACTACACTACACCTACTACACTACACCTACTACACTACTCCTGACTACACTACTCCTGACTACACTACACCTGACTACACACTACACCTGACTACACTACACTGACTACACTACTACTACACCTACTATACTACACACTACACACCTACTATACTACACTACTATACTACACCTACTACACTACACCTACTACACTACTCCTACTACACTACACCTACTACACCACTACCTACTATACTACACCTACTACACTACACCTACTACACTACACCTACTACAACTACTACTACTACTCCTACTACACTACACCTACTACACTACCTACTACACTACACCTACTACACCACACCTACTACACTACACCTACTACACTACTCCTACTACACTACTACTACACTACTACTACTACACTACTACACTACACTACTACACTACTACACTACTCCTACTACACCACACCTACTATACACTACACCTACTACACTACACCTGACTACACTACACCTGACTACACTACACCTGACTACACTACACTTGACTACACTACACCTACTACACTACACCTGACTACACTACACCTGACTACACTACACCTGACTACACTACACCTGACTACACACTACACCTACTACTACTACTACACCTGACTACACACTACTACACTACACCTACTACACTACACCTACTACACTACTACTACTACTACTACACTACTCCTACTACACACCACACCTACTACCTACACCTGACTACACTACACCTGACTACACTACACCTGACTACACTACACCTACTATACTACACTACTACTCCTACTACACTACACTACTACTACACTACTACACTACTCCTACTACACTACACTACACCTACTACACCACACCTACTACACTACACCTGACTACTACTACACCTACTACTACTACACTACACCTACTACACTACACCTACTACACTACACCTACTACCACACCTACTATACTACACCTACACACTACACTACTACACCTACTACTACACTACACCCACTACACTACACCTGACTACACTACACCTACTACACCTGACTACTACTACACTACTACTACACTACACCTGACTACACTACTCCTGACACTACACTACTCCTGACTACACTATACCTGACTACACTACACTACACCTGACTACACACCTGACTTTAGTACTCCTGACTACACTACACCTGACTACACTACACTACTCCTGACTACACTACACCTACTATACTAGATCTGACTACACTAGATCTGACTACACTACACCTGACTACACTACACCTGACTACACTACTCCTGACTACACTAGATCTGACTACACTACACACTGACTACACTGACTACACTACACCTGACTACACTACTCCTGACTACACTACTCCTGACTACACTACACTAAACCTGACTACTCTACAGTACACTTGACTATGTCTGACTACACACCTGACTTTAGTACTCCTGACTACACTACACCTGACTACACTACACATACAGAATCCCATTATTCTAGCTGTCCCTGATTACATTTATTTGTAGGGCTGTCATATGGGTGGTAGAGGAAGCCGTGCTGTGCTGAGCCTGGGGCCCCCTGCTCACTTGAAGGTGCACTCCTGTACACAGTAGCGTCTCCCTGGAAGCTGAGCGGCTGTAGTGCTCAGAGGTGCAGAGGCAGCGAATAGCACCACATAGTGCTGGCACAGGGGAACAGCAGGCGGCTGTCAATCACCCATCCATGCAGTCACAGCTAGTCTTGGTCCTTGTCTAGGTGTCAGTGACCATTCCTTTATTATCATTAACAGCATCACATCCTGGTTCCTCCTCCCCACCATCCCCCTGTGATTCTGGCTCCCTCATGTCTCTTTCACAGTAAGGCTAGTGATTACGATTTAGTGGATTGGTATTTTCAGGATAAAAACAGGTGAGGAGGAGGCCAAATATCACCTTCTGTCAGACACCTCTAAAAAGTGATCCACCCTAGACGCTTTTCAGCAGTAATAGCTGCACATATGAACGGGCCCTTGCTATACAGACCAGTGTCAGCGATGGCTTCGACAGGGAGGGCAGCGGTTTGCAATTTGGTGCGTTGCACTGCTTACTTTTTTTTCCCTTTTTTTTAACTTTTGAAATATCACATGGGGTTGATTTACTAAGACTCCATGCACACTGGCATTTTTTTCAGCTCCCAGAAGCTGTTATTAGCGTTTTTTTTCTGCTCCTAGAAGCTAAATAGTGTTCTCCTCTGTGTCCATGCACACTGCTTTAGGCTATTAGCATTTTTTGAGCTTTAGCATCTAGAAGCAAAAAAAAAATTGTTTTTTTAGAGTTTTTTTTTAGTGCTTTTCCAGCAGAAAAAACCCTAAACACTGCTAAACCCCTTTTTTCTACCTTTTTCTTTTTTTTCTCCACATGTACTGTAAAAACACTAATAAAATGCGAACGCTCCTAAACACTTCTGAACGCTACTAAAACACTACTAAGAAACGCTATTACCAGTGTTTTTTTATCCAGCATTTTTTTAGCTGAAAAAAGGTTAGTATGCATGGAGCCTTAAACTGGAGCACTCAGAATCTGGCGCAGCGGTGCATGGGAGCCAATCAGCTACTAATGTCAGCTTCTTCAATTAAGCTTCGACAATAAAACCTGGAAGCTGATTGGTTCCTATACAGAGATTATACCAGATTTGGCACTCTCCAGTTTTAGTAAGTCCCCCCCTATGGGGGGCTCATTAATGTCTCTGAACAGCGGCACCATGTGTTGTTCTGCTGTTTGCTGACATGACATCCAATTGTCTTCTGTGACTCTTCAGTGGCCTGCATTTGTCCAGTGTGGAAATACACCAATCACTGCACATAGGGATGAACTTAAAGTGTTCCTAATCCCCGCACCCTGCATTCACTATATCTGGTCTCCCTGGGTCCTGCATTCACTATATCTGGTCTCCCCGCACCCTGCATTCACTATATCTGGTCTCCCCAGACCCTGCATTCACTATATCTGGTCTCCCTGGACCCTGCATTCACTATATCTGGTCTCCCCGGACCCTGCATTCACTATATCCGATCTCCCTGGTCCCTGCATTCACTATATCCGGTCTCCCCGGGTCCTGCATTCACTATATCTGGTCTCCCCGGGTCCCCGGGTCCTGCATTCACTATATCTGGTCTCCCCGGACCCTGCATTCACTATATCTGGTCTCCCCGGACCCTGCATTCTCTATATCTGGTCTCCCCGGACCCTGCATTCACTATATCTGGTCTCCCAGGACCCTGCATTCACTATATCTGGTCTCCCCGGGTCCTACATTCACTATATCTGGTCTCCCCGGACCCCGCATTCACTATATCTGGTCTCCCCGGACCCCGCATTCACTATATCTGCTCTTCCTGGACCCCGCATTTACTATATCTGGTCTCCCCGGACCCCGCATTCACTATATCTGGTCTCCCCAGACCCTGCAGTCACTATATCTGGTCTCCCCAGACCCCGCATTCACTATATCTGGTCTCCCCGGACCCTGCATTCACTATATCTGGTCTCCCAGGACCCTGCATTCACTATATGTGGTCTCCCCGGACCCTGCATTCACTATATGTAGTCTCCCCGGACCCTGCATTCACTATATCTGGTCTCCATAGACCCTGCATTCACTATATCTGGTCTCCCCGGACCCTGCATTCACTATATTTGGTCTCCCCGGACCCTGCATTCACTATATGTGGTCTCCCCGGACTCTGCATTCACTATATCTGGTCTCTCAGGATCCTGCATTCACTATATCTGGTCTCCTAGGACCGAGCATTCACTATATCTGGTCTCTCTGGACCCCAAATTCACTATATCTGGTCTCCCAGGACCCTGCATTTACTATATCAGGTCTCCCAGGACCCTGCATTCACTATATCTGGTCTCCCCGGACCCTGCATTCACTATATGTGGTCTCCCCGGACCCTGCATTCACTATATCTGGTCTCCTAGGACCCTGCATTCACTATATCTGGTCTCCCAGGACGCTGCATTCACTATATCTGGTCTCCCCGGACCCTGCATTCACTATATCTGGTCTCCCCGGACCCTGCATTCACTATATCTGGTCTCCTAGGACCCTGCATTCACTATATCTGGTCTCTTTGGACCCCGAATTCACTATATCTGGTCTCCCAGGACCCTGCATTTACTATATCAGGTCTCCCAGGACCCTGCATTCACTATATCTGGTCTCCCTGAACCCTGCATTCACTATATCTGGTCTCCCAGGACCCTGCATTCACTATATCTGGTCTCCCCGGACCCTGCATTCACTATATCTGGTCTCCCACAGTACACACAACATGGAAATGCAATTATTTTAGTAAATATAAACTGCTAAATACCTTTTTTTCTCATCAGCAGTTAGAGCAGTCTTGTGACTTCTATCAGTGTCCAGCAGAGCACTGGTTAAAGCTTGTAGGAGTTTTCATTCTGCTCTAGGAGGATGCAGGACCCTGACCTCTGTCTGGACAGTGCTGATTGGCCCTGTGCTGATCACATGCACTCTCCCAGAAAAAAAAAAACACTTTAACAATACACACCAAACTGAGCATGTGCAGAGTGCCCCCAAACTTATGTTCTATCACAAGATATTTAGGGGGCAATGGAAGAATGGGAGGATCAGAGAAGACAGGAACATCCTTTTTTCACAGTGTGGAGGATTAACCCTTTAGGTTCCACAATGAGAATAACAAGCATGCTTTACTACATATACAGACTGATTGTACTGTTGTGGGTTTAGTAACACTTTAATTGCACCCAGCACAGCCCAAATGCACATCAAAGAACCTTCTGCACTTTCTGCACCCTTTTGGGTGTTGACCTTCACGTGTTTTTTTTACCACACATTTTGGAATATTTGTGGTGCGTTTGCTGTAGGATTTTGTGTGTGTGCCCGCTGGCCGTGTTTGGAGTGCTGATATGAATAATGGCACTCCAAATGCAAGGCATGTTTTTCACACGTATTCACAGTTTTTCTACGTCCTATTTCCTTGTACTTTTTGAGTAGCTATTGGCTATATCTTTTAATAAACGCTTTTTAAACTTTCTGCACTTAGGTTGGCGCCCCATCATTGTGTTTTATTACATGTTCTGGTAACAATCCTACCATTACCTGGCACCTTTATCTCAATAAACGTGCTTTTATGGTTTTATGTGATGGTTGCTCCTTTGTTTTTTCGGCATGGCCATACTGAGAGGTATTAATCGTGAGATAATAATAATGGGGAGAATCTGAAGGCATCTTTCTCTGTCCATTACTGTGGTACAGCATCTTTTCCAAAAATTGAGGGATAAGGCGGGCACACACTTTTGGAATTATACATCCATGCGTTTGTGACTCTTAAATCATTTAGGGTCCACATGTTCTGGTAAGAATCCAACTATTATCTGATGGTGGAGCACTAGTTTTATTGAAGACACATGGTGGACAATCACATATATAAATCACTGGGACTGTTTTGTCATTTTCACAATTTGGACTTGCTTTCATTTCATAATTTGCCATTGAACACCAGAATTGGCAGGTCCGCTACTGGCACCCTGTGCTTTTCACAGATGAGAGCAGGTTCACCCTGAGCACATGTGACAGACATGAAAGGTTCTGGAGAAGCCATGGAGAACGTTCTGCTGCCTGTAACATGGTTTCAGCATGACCGTTTTGGTGGTGGGTCAGTGATGGTCTGGGGAGGCATATCCATGGAGGGGGGACACACAGACCTCTACAGGCTAGACAATGGCACCCTGACTGCCATTAGGTATCGGGATGAAATCCTTGGGCCCATTGTCAAACCCTACGCTGGTGCAGTGTGTCCTGGGTTCCTCCTATATGCAGTGGGTCCTGGGATCCTCCTGGTGCAGTGTGTCCTGGGTTCCTCCTGGTGCAGTGGGTCCTGGGTTCCTCCTGGTGCAGTGTGTCCTGGTTCCTCCTGGTGCAGTGTGTCCTGGGTTCCTCCTGGTGCATGTGTCCTGGGTTCCTCCTGGTGCAGTGTGTCCTGGGTTCCTCCTGGTGCAGTGTGTCCTGGGTTCCTCCTGGTGCAGTGTGTCCTGGGTTCTTCCTGGTGCACGACAATGCCCGGCCTCATGTGGCGAGAGTATGCAGGCAGTTCCTGGAGGATGAAGGAATTGATACCAGTGAATGGCCCCCACGCTCGCCTGACCTAAATCCAATAGAACCCCTCAGGGATATCCAGGGGCGGACTGACAACTCATGGGGCCCCCGGGCAATAGGGGATCATGGGGCCCCTGTGTCCTTGCCCAAACTCAAAAAAGCCTATGAAAAAGGTACCAGGGGCATCTCATGGGGCGCCCTACTGACCCCGGGCCCTCAGGCAGTGCCCGAGTTTCCAAATGGTCAGTCCACCCCTGGGGATATCATGTTTCGTTCCATCCAACGCCGCCAGGTTGCACGTCAGACTGTCCAGGAGCTCAGAAATGCCCTGCTCCAGATCTGGGAGGAAATCCTCCAGGACACCATCCGTCATCTCATTAGGAGCATGCCCCGACGTTGTCAGGCATGCATACAAGCACGTGGAGGCCACACAGACTATTGAGGACCATTCTGAGTTGCTACAATGAAATATCAGCAAAATGGACTCGCCTGCTGCATCATCTGGGTTCCGTCCCCTGTGAGCGTCGGGACGTACGGGGGATGGAACTGGCGGGAAATTTGAAAATGACAAAAAGTGACATTCACTAAATACACTAAAATCACATAGTAAAACATTACTGTATCAAACCATTTCACATACATTTTGTCCCGAGTGCTTTGTCTGGCGCCCTGCCTGCATTTTTACTGTTCTTTCTGCCTGGAAACTGAGAAACGTCCATGGCGTCCAAAAAGCGTCCCTTTAGGTCAAAAGCGGTTTTAGACCGGCTAGAGAACAGAGATAGTAAATCAGAACCACTTGCAGAATTGAGTGATAATGATTCGTGGGGAAATTCCTCATCAGACACTGAAAACGATTCTGCAACTTTGCTCAGCGATGTGCGAACTTGGCGCTATATTTCAAATTTCAGTGCTTTTAGTTTGATTATATTATTGAATTAAATTTATTATTATATTATTTTTTTTTATTATTATTATTAAATTATAATTTATGATTTCGTGTTTCAAATTTATCATACCCGGGATGTATACTAGACTCTTGTTCGGACATATTTCAGTGAGTTATTCCTAAATATTACAGGCCTACAATAAAAAAAATACATATTTCCATGCAAAAAAATGTACCGCTTTGAGCACAGAAATATGGACATAATCAGACCGCTAGAGAGGATAAAGTAGCAGTTCTGAATAACAAATGACCTTTTAGAGGGGTAAACCCTGCCAGCATACTGAAAGAGGCCTACGTTCTAAAAAAAAAAAAAAAAAACCTCAGGAACTTTGTAATGGTTATCATTATACCAGATTTATATAACACGAACAGTTTGTCAGCAATTTACAATGTAATGATGGTCATTATAGGAATATCTAAATACAATGACATGAAAACGGAAATGGTCACTTTTAATACTCATGATCCAACCATGTAAAAAAGGAACAAAAAAAAAAAAACGACCGCGGCAGGACTCGAACCTGCAATCTTCTGATCCGAAGTCAGACGCCTTATCCATTAGGCCACGCGGCCCTGCATACAGGGAACTGTCTACACTCTCTAGATAACGTGCAATCATCCGCCCTCTAGGTGACGCTCATCGATATTGCAGGAATCGTCACTCCATTGCCTCTCACTGCTTACAGGCCAAACTAGTTGCTCACAGAAGTAAACGGACTGAGGATGAGGAGGAGTCGTGTTCTCCTACCACAGGGGGTCGGCTTGGTGTGATCATCCGCTCCGACAAGGTGTGACGGCTCACCGGCCTGAGCGGAGAGTCAGGGGAACGCGGGAGGTGAGCAGGACACGTGCCGGACAGCGCAGACACGTGCTGGCTGTTTAAGTGCAGTGGCCAGGTGGGAAGTGGATAAAGTATCCCTAGGACTTGTACAGATTATATGTGATCGGTACTAACCCCCGACCTACCGGACACTCCTACCCCCTGAGTGCCCGGGCCAATTTCCAGCTTTCAGCACTGTTGCACTGTGAATGACAATTGCGCGGTCATGCAACACTGTACCCATATGAAATTGTTATCTTTTTTTGTGACAGATATGCAGGCCATAGACGGGGAGAAAAGCGGACGGTTTTTTAACAAAATAACGAAAAAGCGGTCGTTCAATAGGCCGATGTTACCACCAACAGTAAAAAAAAAATCGGCCGATTTTCGTCCCGTCTACGGTCGGCATTTAATTACTTCTGTCCCTGCAGAGAGCCCCGCTATTATATTTGACATTAAAAAGTATTGCAGTTGCAACAATGTATCCATTTGTATCCATTTTGGATACAGATGGTTTTTTTTGGATACAAATAGATACAATGTTGCAACCGCAATACTTTTTAATGTCAAATATAATAGCGGACTGGAATTCTCTTCTTCTTTCTCTCTTCTTCTCTTCTTCTTCTTCTTTCTTTCTTCTTCTTCTCTTCTTTCTCTTCTTCTTCTCTTCTCTTCTTCTTCTTTCTTCTTTCTTCTCTTCTTCTTCTTTCTCTTCTTCTTCTTTTCTTCTTCTTCTCTTCTTCTTCTTCTTCTTCTTCTTTTCTTCTTCTTCTTCTTCTTCTTCTTCTTCTCTTCTTCTTCTTCTCTTCTCTTCTCTTTCTTCTTCTTTTTCTTTCTTCTTCTTCTTTTTCTCTTCTTCTTTCTTCTTCTTCTTCTTCTTTCTTTCTTCTTCTTCTTCTCTTCTTCTTTCTTCTTCTTCTTCTTTTTCCTTCTTCTTCTTTCTTCTTCTTTCTTTCTTCTTTTTTTCTTTATTCTTCTTTTTTGCTTATTCTTTTTTTTCTTTTTTTTCTTATTTTTTTTCTGCTTCTTCTGCTTGCAGGTCACGGCTCATGCGCAGATTTTTTATCGGTAAAAAGATTGGTTGATTTGCCCATCATTGCCGGAAAAATCGGCCGATTTTTCTTCCCGTCTACGGCCGGCATTTAATTACTTCTGTCCCTGCAGAGAGCTCCGCTATTATATTTTACATTAAAAAGTATTGCAGTTGCAACAATGTATCCATTTCGGATATAGATGGTTTTTTCGGATACAAATAGCTACAATGTTGCAACCGCAATACTTTTTAATGTCAAATATAATAGCGGACTGGAATTCTTCTTTTCTCTTCTTCTTTCTCCTCTTCTTCTTCTTCTTTTCTCTTCTTCTTCTTTCTCTGCTTCTTCTTTCCCTTCTTCTTCTTCTTTTTCTTCTTCTTTCTCTTCTTCTTCTTTCTTCTCTTCTTCTCTTCTTTCTTCTCTTCTTCTTCTCTCTTTCTCCTCTTCTTCTTCTTTCTCCTCTTCTTCTTCTTCTTTCTCCGCTTCTTCTTTCTCCTCTTCTTCTTCTTCTTTCTCCTCTTCTTCTTTCTCTTCCTCTTCTTTCTCTTCTTTTCTCCTTCTTTCTCTACTTTCTGTTCTTCTTCTCCTTTCTCTTCTTTTTTTTTTCTTAATCTTCTTTTTCTTCTGCTTCTTTTTTTCTGCTTCTGCTTCTTGCAGGTCACGGCTCATGCGCAGATTTTTTATCGGTAAAAAGATTGGCCGATTTGCCCATCATTGCCGGAAAAATCGGTCGATTTTTTTCCAACTTTACCGATCAAAAAAATCTGACAAAATCCAGAAAAACAGCCGACCAATTAACCCATTAACGGTGCGAAAATTGGACAATTTGTTTGATTTTCGACCCATCTATGGCCTGCAATAGAGCTTTATTTTGGTGGTATTTAATCACCTCTGGGTTTTTTATTTTTTCTTAAGCCAAAAACCACTGAAAATTTTGAAAAAAAAAAAAGTTTTTTTCTTAGTTTTTGTTATAACATTTTGTAAATAAGTGATTTTTCTCCTTCACTGATGTTCGCTAATGAGGCTGCAGTGATGGGCACTGATGGACACTGATAGGTGGCACTGATGGACACTGATAGGTGGCACTAATGGGCACTGATGAGGAGGCATTGGTAGGTGGCACTGATGGGCACTGAAAGGCAGCACTGATATATGGCACTGATAGGCAGCACTGACTGGCACTGATTGCATTGATAGGTGGCACTGACTGGCACTGATGGGTGACACTGAAAGGCAGCTCAGATGGGCACTGATATGTGGCATTGATGAGCACTGACAGCTGGCACTGATGGGCACTGACAGCTGGCACTGCTGGGGCTACACTGATCATCAGGGCACACTGATCATCAGTGCCGTGATGATCAGTGTACATGTCCCCTCTGACGAATGCAGATTGCCGGCTCTCCTCTCTTCTCCTCTGTCAGCGTGACAGCTCGAGTGGAGAGAAATGCCGAGAGAAATGCCGATAACCGGCATTTCCCTGTTTACATGTGATCAGCTGTGATTGGACACCGCTGATCACATGACCGAGCTGACATCTTCGGCTTCTTCCGTGGATCGGTGATCAGCTGTGTCTGAGGGACACAGCACACCCCGTTTCGTCGTGCCGCGCGCTCCTGGAGCCACACATGTGCACTGAGAATGGGAGGACATTATATGACGTCCTCCCAGAATGAGAGAACCACTTTGCGCCCCTCATTGTACTATATGGCAGGCGGGAGGTGGTTAAAGGGATGAGGTGGCATCCCTAGTGACACCTTACCTAATGAATTTTGGGTGAAAAACAGTAAAACCCTTGCAGACAAAATGATTCCATCTCATGGATGGCTTGCATCTTACCGTGCATTGCTTACTTTACCGGAGTCTGACACTGGATTGTGTTTGAGTATGTTGGTTGTGGTGTGCCACGATCTTAGCATTACATGGGTGAATTGTTCTTTCCACTGACCATACCTGTGCCATTGATCCCCATAGACTGATGTGGGGCCTACTCACTGAGTGTTTGCTGTATTGGGAGACCACTCCATAGACATCTGTAGGGATTGAACGCACAGGTATTCAGTGGACCGCGGATTCAGCCAGGTACAGTCATGGCCAAAAATATTGGCCCCCTGCATTTCTGTCAGATAATGCACCACATCACCCAGAAAATTGTTGCAATTACAAATATTTAGGTATTCTCATGTTTATTTCTTTTGTTTGTATTGGTATGACACAAAAAAAAGTGAAGATAAAAAAAAAATCCAAATCAAGACAAAACCCCAAAAATGGACTGGACAAAATTATTGGCACCCTCAATTTAATATTTGGTAGCACACCCCTTGGAAAAAATAACTGAAATCAATGGCTTCCTGTCACCATCAATGAGTTTCTTCCACCTCTCTACTGGAATTTTGGAGCGCTCTTCTTTCACCAACTGCTCCAGGTCTCTCAGATTGGAAGGGTTCCTTTTCCCAACTGCTGTTTTGAGATCTCTCCACAGGAGCTCCATGGGATTGAGATCTGGACTCATTGCTGGCCAGTTCAGTACTCTCCAGCGCTTTGTCTGAAACCATTTCTGGGGGCTTTTTGATGTGTGCTTTGGATCATTGTCCTGCAGTAAGACCCATGACCTTTGACAGAAACCTAATTTTCTGACATTGGACCCACATTGCAGCCCCTTTGGTAGTCTTCAGATTTCATAATGCCATGCACACAGTGAAGACATCAGTGCCTGAAGCAGCAAAGTAACCCCAAATCATCAGTGACCCTCCACCATGTTTGACTGTAGGGACTGATTCTTTTTTTAAAGGCCTCATTTATTTTTCTGAAAACAGTAGAATGATGGGCTTTACCAAAAAGCTGTAATGTTGTTTGTCTGTCCACTGCACATTCTCCCAAAGGATTTTGGCTTCCTCAGATAAGTTTTGGCAATCCCCAATCTGGGTTTTGTATGTTTCTTTGTCAGTGGGGCCCTCCTGGGTCTCCTACCATAGCGTCCCTTTTTCATTCAGATGGGGACGCATAGTGTGAGCTGACACCGTTGTACCCTGTGTCTGAAGGTCAGCTTGAATTTGTCTGGAAGTTGATCGAGGTTCTTTATCCACCATTCGAACAATCCTTCGTTGCAATCTTTGATCAAGGTTTTTTTCTTTCATCCATGTCCAGGGAGATTAGCTACAGTGCCATGGGCTGTAAACTTCTTGACAATGTTGTGCGCAGTGGAAACTGGAACATTAAAGGAGAAGTTCAGTCAAAGCTCTTTTGCCTGTACTTCTTCTGTGGATTTTCAGCCGACACCAGGCTGAATCCTGCTGTCGGCTGACGTCACTCAGCCGGTTAAGGCTGGGGAAAGATTCCGACTTCAAAGTCGGGATCCACCCCAGAGTCTGGAGCGACACCTGGCTCAGCCTCTCAGCGAGCCACTGAGAGCCTGAGCCAGCTGCTCCTTCCCCCTCCACAGCCCTGTGAGCACTGGTGGGGCAGAGCAGACAGCGGTGACTGACAGTCACCACTCTCTGCACGGAGCAGCTGTGAGAATTCATCAATCATGTGATCGCTGAGTTCACACATTTAGAGCCGGCGGGGGGACCAATGCTGCATCCACCTATGGGGGGAAAAAAAAAATCCACACCTCCTTTTTAAGATCTGTTAATTGATACAGGTGAGTTTAAATACAAATTACAGGAGCCTCACAAGCATGGAATGCAATTGTTTCATACAATTTTGAGAAGGTGCCAATAATTTTGTCCAGCCCATTTTTGGGGATTTTGCGTGGAATGTGTCAGAGTTGGCTTTTTGTTTCTTCACTTTATTGTGTCATACCAATACAAACAAAAGAAATACTGTATTTTTCACTCCATAAGACACACCTGACCATAAACGCACCTAGGTTTTAGAGGAGGAAAACAAGAAAAAAAATATTCTGAACCAATGGACTGCAGACATATTACAGGAGATGACCAGAGACTGCGGACACAGTACAGGAGATGACCAGAGACTGCGGACACAGTGCAGGAGATGACCAGAGACTGCGGACACACTACAGGAGATGACCAGAGACTGCAGACATAGTACAGGAGATGAGAGACTGCGGACACATTACAGAGACTGCAGACATAGTACAGGAGATGACCAGAGACTGGACACATTAGTACAGGAGATGACCAGAGACTGCGGACACATTACAGGAGATGACCAGAGACTGCGGACACATTACAGGAGATGACCAGAGACTGCGGACACAGTACAGGGGATGACCAGAGACTGCGGACACAGTACAGGGATGACCAGAGACTGCGGACACAGACAGGAGATGACCAGAGACTACACAGGGGATGACCAGAGACTGCGGACACAGTACAGGGGATGACCAGAGACTGCGGGACACAGTACAGGGGATGACCAGAGACTGCGGACACATTACAGGGGATGACCAGAGACTGCGGACACATTACAGGGGATGACCAGAGACTGCGGGCACAGTACAGGGGATGACCAGAGACTGCGGACACAGTACAGGGGATGACCAGAGACTGCGGACACAGTACAGGGGATGACCACAGTATGACCAGAGACTGCAGGCACAGTACAGGGATGACCAGAGACTGCGGGCACACGGTACAGGGGATGACCAGAGACTGCGGACACAGTACAGGGGATGACCAGAGACTGGGGACACAGTACAGGAGATGACCAGAGACTGCGAACACAGTACAGGGGATGACCAGAGACTGCGGACACAGTACAGGGGATGACCAGAGACTGCGGACATAGTACAGGAGATGACCAGAGACTGCGGACACAGTACAGGGGATGACCAGAGACTGCGGGCACATTACAGGGGATGACCAGAGACTGCGGGCACATTACAGGAGATGACCAGAGACTGCGGACACAGTACAGGGGATGACCAGAGACTGCGGGCACATTACAGGGATGACCAGAGACTGCGGACACATTACAGGGGATGACCAGAGACTGCGGGCACAGTACAGGGGATGACCAGAGACTGCGGGACACATTACAGGGATGACCAGAGACTGCGGCACACAGTACAGGGGATGACCAGAGACTGCGGACACATTACAGGGGATGACCAGAGACTGCGGACACATTACAGGGAATGACCAGAGACTGCGGACACATTACAGGGGATGACCAGAGACTGCGGGACACATTACAGGGGATGACCAGAGACTGCGGGCACAGTACAGGGGATGACCAGAGACTGCGGGCACATACAGGGGATGACCAGAGACTGCGGGCACAGTACAGGGGATGACCAGAGACTGCGGGCACATTAGAGGGGATGACCAGAGACTGCGGGCACAGTACAGGGGATGACCAGAGACTGGGGCACAGTACAGGGGATGACCAGAGACTGCGGACACAGTACAGGGGATGACCAGAGACTGCGGGCACATTACAGGGGATGAGCAGAGACTGCGGGCACATTACAGGGGATGACCAGAGACTGCGGACACAGTACAGGGGATGACCAGAGACTGCGGGCACAGTACAGGGGATGACCAGAGACTGCGGACACAGTACAGGGGATGACCAGAGGCTGGGGACACAGTACAGGGGATGACCAGAGATTGCGGACCTTTGGGGAGCAGAGGAGGGGTGGAGCGGATACCCAAATTTGACAGGTACCCGCTCCCACTTCCACGGAGTTGTCCTCCCTCCCCGTCTTCTGGGACACGTGACAGGTCCAAGAAGACTGCCGGACCATTCACAAAGCGCAGTGCTTATCGCACATGTGCAGCGGGCACCTGGCTGTGAAGCCACAAGCTGTCACAGCCATGTGCCCACACTAAAGATGTCAGCCACAGGCGAGAAGAAGGTGAGCACAGCGCTGAACCGAGGAACAGGTAGCACAGAAGAGCCAAGTGGCCAGCCCAGTATTCTGACATGGGTGGTGGGAATTCTGGGCCAGCCGCTCCATAAGACGCACAGACATTTCCCCCCATTTTTTGGGGGGGGAAAAAGTGCGTCTTATGGAGCGAAAATTACAGTAAACCTGAGAATGCCCAAACATTTGTAATCGTAACAATTTTCTGGGTGAAGTGGTGCATCATCTGACAGAAATGCAGGGGTGCCAGTATTTTTGGCCATGACTTTTGTGGGGTTTATTTACCAGAGAGACTCCCTTCTGCATAGAAACCAATCAGCTTCTAACCTCAGCTTGTTCAATGAAGCTTTGGCAATGACTGGAAGCTGATTGGTTTCTATGCAGAAGGGAGTCTGATTTTGGACTCTCCAGCTTTAGTAAATAAACCCCCAAGTGTCTGGTCCAGAATTAGTTGGATTACTTGTGTTCAGGGGGATAGGTAGGAATGATAAATGTGCATTATGTGAAAATTACATTTATCCCCTTTTTTTTTTTTTCCTCTATCTCACAGGATTCTATGAGCGATCCAAATAGACCGTGAAATGGGCAAAATGGACAGATTGCTAAGGAAAAACACGTTTCTGATAAGCTGCTGGAAGATGAAGAACTTGAAATGCTGTATGTGTTCAATGGCATCACATTTACCAAGTGAAGATCGTACACAGGAGGCTCAGCAGAGGCGTATGAACCCCCTTAATATACAGATGCTCTCCAAAGGTCTCCATGAACAAATATTCAGGGATAAACAAGAGCATTACTCGAACGAAAGCATTCAGAAGAGCATAGACCATTTGCAGAATCATGGGCTATGGGGTCAAGATACCTCTACTATCCAGGACATGGAATTAGAACTGCCCAGGATGTATGGCAGTAATATCGATGAACATTTCAGAATTCTAGCTCAGAAACAAAATCTTCCATACCTGGAAGCAGCTAACGATCTATTACAATGTCAGATACCAGAGCTACCGCAAGAATGGGCCTGGCACACTGGATGGACGAAGTATACCAAGGGAGGAGGAAGAGAGCAGGTCGACTTCCCGGATGAAAAGGCTCTGGTGTTCGATGTGGAGGTCTGCATGTCTGAAGGGCAATGTCCAACTCTAGCTGTGGCGGTCTCCCCCCAGTGCTGGTAAGACAAGGTTTGTACCTAAATCTAGATTTTTGCAAATAAATGGAACAAACTTCTTTTTTCTTTTCTTTCTTTTTCTAGGTACTCTTGGTGTAGTCAAAGACTAATAGAAGATCGATATACGTGGTCTAATGAAATGTCCTTGTCTGATCTCATCCCACTTGAGACATCGCCAAAGTCAAACATTACAAACAAGCACAGCTGGTACCAGAGATTAGTGGTGGGCCACAATGTCAGCTTTGACAGAGCGCACATCAAGGAACAATACTTTATAAAGGTGTGTTCTGTAGTTTTGTATTCACATGTAGAAAAATGTATTTATTTCAGGTACTTATATAGCGCCGTCAATTTACGCAGCGCTTTACATATATATTGTACATTCACATCAGTCCCTAACCCTCAAGGGGTGTACAATCTAAGGTCCCTAACTCACATTCATACATACACATACTAGGGACAATTTATACAGGAGCCAATTAACCTACCAGCATGTCTTTGGAGTGTGGGAGGAAACCGGAGTACACGGAGGAAACCCACGAAGGCACAGGGAGAACATGCAAACTCCAGGCAGTTGGTGCCGTGGTTGGAATTTGAACCAACGACCCTAGGACTGCCAGGCAGAAGTGCTAACCACTTAGCCACTGTGCTGCCCCAAAAATACATTTTATAATACAAAAAATGCTATTCAGCGGGTCATTCGTTTTATAGTCCATAGAGAAGCTAATTGATTTTCTGAGGCAATGGGATTGATTTAGTAAAGGCAAATAGACTGTGCATTTTGCTAGGTGCAGTTGCAACAGAGATTAGTAAATGAGGTGAAGCTTCACTTTGCAAAGAATACCCAATCACATGCAAAGGAAAAGTAAAAAATAGTATTTTTTCTTGCATCTGATTGGATGATGGAAGTCAGTAGATGCTGTTAAGGGCAGAGGAGACATCTGAGGTCTTAAAGACCCCAGATGTCCCAGTAAAGAGGACCTGTCACAGCCTGTTGTTATCAGAAGGGATGTTTACATTCCTTGTGATAATAAAAGGGATCAAAGATTTTTTTTTAAGGGATAGTGTAAAATAAAAAAGTAATAAAGTAAATAATTAAAAAAAAAAATGTGTAAAGCACCCCCATCTTGCCGTGCTCGTGTGAAAAGGTGAACCGATACATAGGTCATGAATTCATTTGTAAACAGTGGGGTAGATTTATTAAAACTGGAGCACTCAGAATCTGGTGCAGTTGTGCATGGTAGCCAGTCAGCTGTGCAAGCACACAATGAGATCCTTCAGAGTAGGGGAAGGGTGCGATTAAATGTCACATTTACCAGCCCCTTCCTTTTTCGAATGAACACATCACTCACTGTGTTCATAACTGAAGCCTAGTAACCTGTGTTTTTTTTTGGGGGGGAGGGTTAGCCCTGGGGGGGGGGGGGGAGCCCTGGAAGGTTAGCTGCATGGGGCCCCGTGGTTTCTAACAGAAACCCTGCTTGACTGGTGGCACTGATGGGTACAGATTGACAGCACTGCTAGACACTGATGGGCAGCACTGATGGTCACATTTGGGGCTGCACTGATAATCAGGGCACTGATTATCAGTGAAGATGAATCCTTTCAAAGTTGCTGGTGATCAGCAGTATTTTCCTCACGCTGTGACAGTATGAGGAAAGTACTGCCAATAACCAACAAGTATATTTACATGCTGATCACATAGTAAAAGGCTTCTGTAATTGGCCCTTTACTGTGTCATGTGATCAGCCGCATCCAAAGGATGCAGAAAACGCTGGGTGCGCACCGCTGGAGGTGCACGGGGGGCACGTCCTGGGAGGACGTCATATGATGCCCTCCCAGAACTGGACGACCCCACTGTTATTGTCATTCGGCTATAGCACGGTCAAGAAGTGGTTAACATTCATTAAAGTGTATTGTTTCCAAAAAAATAGTTTTTGAAAAAACGCTTTGCACACTGCTCTGCCCCTCTACAAGCTGACATATTAGTCAAGGCTGCCCTTGGAAATATGATAAAGTATGGCAGCCGTGGGTGTCCCAACCGGATGGGGCTGGTTATTATTATTATTATACAGTATTTATATAGCGCCAAAAGGTTTGCTCAGAGCTGTACAATATAGTGGGGGGACAGAACATGAGACAATACAGTAACAATACAATACACGGAGGGGTTCAAGGGCCCTGCTCTTTCGAGCTTACAATCTAGGAGGGAGGGGATAGTGGTACAGGAGGAAGTGGCTGTGGGGGATGGAGTGGTGGGAAGAGTGGAGGAGACGGGCTGTTAGGTGAGGGTGGGGTAGGCTTCCCTGAAGAGATGGGTTTTCAGGGTGTGCCTAAAGGTGAGGAGGGAAGGTGACAGTCTGATGGATTGGGGTAGGGAGTTCCAGAGGATGGGGGAAGTCCTAGAGAAGTCCTGCAGTCGGGCGTGGGAGGTGGAGACCACGGAGTTAGAAAGTAGGAGGTCTTGTGAGGAGCGAAGATTACGAGTTGGGTGGTATTTGGGTATCAGGTCGGTGAGGTAGTTTGGGGCAGCGTTGTGAATGGTTAGACCCTTCTCTATCTAACTGTAAGTTAGGTGATGCGTGTGTACTCCTTGGCTCTCACAGATATTTACTAGGTGTTCCTCCACTCCATACCCGTATTCTCCTGTCTCTCCCCCCCCCCCTTCTTCTTCACCGCGACAAATTCTCCTTCCCTGAGGAGTTAGAGCTGATCCACATACTACAAATGTTATGGTCGAGCCCATTGTGGCCATTGTCATTTTTCTATGCTTTTTAGATACATGCTTCATCTGTGAGTATGTTTTTATTATTTCATTCCTACAATAAACCTTGGATAATGCACTAGGTGTGTGCGCCACCTGTTTTCTCTCTATGGTCGAGCCCAGGACTGCTGTATTACATTCTGCATGTATTTTATGTGGTGACGTTGGATTTGTTTCAGATACCTTGTGTAATCCTTCCAACTTCTATGTTCTGCCATGTCAACTGTTGTTTTTCTGTTTCAATGTTATGTGCAATGCCTTTCTTTAATAAAGAACTCCTGATTGTTAAAAAAAAAAAAAAAAAAAAAAAAATGCTTTGCAAATACCGTGTGACATAAAAAAATGGCAAAACCCACCATTTTATTCTCTAGGTCCCCCGCTTAAAAAATATATAATGTTTGGGCGTTCGAAGTAATTTTCTCGCCAAAATACAGTTTTTCATGTAAACAAAAGGTGTCAGAATTGTCCTGGTCTTTAAAGTTGCTAATGTCACATAGAAGCCCATAGATGCTTGGATGTAGGCTGTATCCCTGGTAGAGATATAAAGAACTGAAAACTTCATGGGTCTATATATTGGTGACTAAAACAAATGTGATTTTTTCTTAGGGCTCAAAGATGCGCTTTATGGATACAATGAGCATGCACATGGCTATCTCAGGCCTAACAGCATTTCAGCGCAGTTTATGGATGGCTAGTAAATACGGGAAAAATAAAGGATTGCAGGAGGTCAAGCAGCACATCATGAAAACTCGACACAAGTATGATGGCCCAGCTGTAAGTCTGTTAAATGCTTAAAGTTCATTTCCAGATTAAATTCTTATTTCTTGAAATAGTCCAGCACCCTTGCAATTCATTGAAAACGCCAATCCGTCTGCCGCAATGGCAGTTGGTACTTGTAGACTATTCATCTGCAGGAAACTGTGAATGAATGATGGGACTCCACCCGCTCTATTTGAATTGTGACAGTGGGTGTGGGGAGAGGATCCCCCGCCCACTGTCACAATGGGAGATCTGGTCAGGGTTCTTTAGTAATATGCTACATTTTACATCCTGAATATGGGTAACACATACAACATGTTACTAAGGGGGTACTTATCCTTTAAAAAGGAAAATCATTTCTGACTGCAAAATTCTTAATTTAAAGATGCCTCACCACCACCGTACCACTTGGCCAAAAAGATATCCTCAGTCTTCTGGGTTAAATGGCACCCAGCATCATTCAACCCACAAGATCAAAGAATAAGTTCACCTTCTGTAACATGTTACTGTTGTTCTGTATTCAGGGTGTAATATGTAACATGTTACTGTTGTTCTGTATTCAGGGTGTAATATGTAACATGTTACTTTTGCAGCAGACCCTGCACACCCCCTCCACCCATCCCCCATCGTGGCAGCTAGCTGGGGGTCCTCTTCCCACACCTGCTGTCACAATTAAAAAATAAAAAAACCACAGCCTTGTGGGGGTACGCCCACCCAGCCACATCATTCATTCACAGAGTTATTATTATACAGGATTTATATATTATTATTATTATTATTATACAGGATTTATATATTATTATTATTATACATGATTTATATATTATTATTATTATTATACAGGATTTATATATTATTATTATTATTATACAGGATTTATATATTATTATTATTATTATACAGGATTTATATATTATTATAATTATTATTATTATTATACAGGATTTATATATTATTATTATTATTATTATTATTATACAGGATTTATATATTATTATTATTATACAGGATTTATATATTATTATTATTATTATACAGGATTTATATATTATTATAATTATTATTATTATACAGGATTTATATATATTATTATTATTATACAGGATTTATATATTATTATTATTATTATACAGGATTTATATATTATTATAATTATTATTATTATACAGGATTTATATATTATTATTATTTATACAGGATTTATATATTATTATTATTATTATACAGGATTTATATATTTTTATTATTATTATACAGGATTTATATATTATTATTATTATACAGGATTTATATATTATTATTATTATTATACAGGATTTATATATTATTATAATTATTATTATTATACAGGATTTATATATTATTATACAGGATTTTATATATTATTATTATTATACAGGATTTATATATTTTTTTTATTATTATTATACAGGATTTATATATTATTATTATTATTATACAGGATTTATATAGCGCTAACAGTTTGCTCAGCGCTGTACAATATAACGGGAGACAATACAGCAACAATACAGTTCAATACAAGAGGGATAGGAGGGCCCTGCTCTTTGAATAGGAGAACTACAAGTACTCACAGCCTTTGCGGCTGTTGGCTTGTAGTTGCCAGTGAACCACCAGAGCACTGATGAGCATTCTAGGTATTTCATTGATGCTTCCTGTCATTGTGTAACTACCTTTCAGTATTAGGTACGAGCAGACAGCTTACACTGACAGTCTGCAGGATCTTTGCATTGCACCCGCAATATGCTGATCGTGGGTGCAATGCTTTACAGGCTCCTATAAAAAAAAATAATAAATGTACATTTTTTATTTTTACCTGCAAAAATATGTGCATTTATTTTTTTACAAAGGTGAACTTATCTTTTAGGCACGTACTCTACTTGTAGAATCCAATTTTCCTGCCTCCTAATGTGGTATCAGTACGGCGCCCTTTATTCCCAGTGTACTGGTCTGCATCAGCCCCAAGAAGAAGTAAACTGGTATAAAAGACCCAGTAGTGTCACATGACTGGTCCAAACACTTTGGAAAAAGGTAAGTATTATGACATTAAAAGCACAAAATGTTGCCAGCAGGGGCCACAAGGGGTAGGGAGAAAATATTGAGTGGCCGCTGAGAGGTACAATCGGCAAGAATGAAACCATCAGTCCTTTGCAGACTGGAAGAAGCATTTCTTAGCCTCTCCTGCCCCACCAATCGCTTTACTGAAAGATGCATTAACTTAAAGCGGAGCTCCACCCAAAAGAGGAAGTTCCGCTTTAAGCCTTTGTCCCTCACTCCCCATTAAGGATTGGCACCTTTGGGGAGTGGGGGGGACCTAGGCGATCAGAAAGCGTAAGTTGTCCTCCCCCTACCCCCCCCCCCCCCCCCCGTAGTCTTCTGGGACACGTGACAGGTCCCAGAAGACTACGGGGCCATTCACAAAGTGCAGAGCTTCATGCGCAGTGGGCACCCGGCTGTGAAGGTGCAAGCTGTCACAGCCGGGTGCCCACACTGAAGATGCCGGCACCAGGGAGAGAAGATGGCCGGTGAAACCAGCGGTGGTGAGGACACCGCTGGACCGAAGGACAGGTAAGTGTCTGTATTTTAAAAGTCAGCAGCTACAGTTCTTGTAGCTGCTGACTTTTATTTTTTTTTTCTTTTCCAGGTGAAACTCTGCTTTTAAAAACATTCTGTCTGGTCTCAAAGTGAGATGCAATATGGAGGTAGATGTCAGAACGTGTACACAGCCCAGAACACAAAGGCTGTTGTGCAGGTACCTAGATTTACATCATTGTGTCATCTGTGGGATAACGTCCCAGTCCAAGGAGTAGATGATTACCCTGGTTGATGACAAAGGTGCCAATTTTATGGAGAGAAAGGAAGGCATTGTCCTAGGAAGCTCTGTGATCACCCTTGGAGCTAATGAAAACCTGTAAGCCCCGGTTCACATATATACGGCTGTGCGGGCCACATTTTGCACGGGCACGAGAGCCCATTCTTTTGAATGGACTCCCGTGACACGCAGGGAAGAAGTCCCTGTACTTCTTCCGAAAACGCAGCCCGCATGGGAACCCAGTACGGTTGCGTTTTCCAGTGCGGACGGCATGCCATTAGAACTAATGGCACCCGCCCGCGGTTCTGCGTTTCTCTGTGTGGGTGGTGCAGCTGCACGGATTTTCATGCGGATCCGCAGCGGCACCACCCGCACAGATGTGAACCTAGCCTAAGTGTTACACATTACTAAGGGACACTGTCACATTGCCAATTCAGGGCAAAGTGATAGTGACAGCGACTGCTGGGAGGCTTCCCCCCAAAAAGGTATACTCAGCTATCCTTGCTCCTTTGTGGCCGTCCCATTAATAATAATAATCCCAATTCATTGGAGCCTATACTACCTAGCAGTGACATCATCCACCAATCTACCTATGTAGACATTAGAGGGGAACAAGGAAGTGTGGATAGGTGAGTATACTTTTCGGGGAGTTGGGCTTTCAGCACACACCGCCACTTTGCCTTGAATAGCAACAGCATTGTACTGTCAGTGCAGGCTGTGTGATGATGCATCCCCGGTGAGCCTGACATTTACCCCTTGTGTTCTTAGGAAGTGGATAGATGACACTTGGGAGTTTATGTACTAAACCTGGAGAGTGCAAAATCTGGTGTAGCTCTGCATAGAAACCAATCAGCTTCCAGGTTTTATGGTCAATGCTTAATTGATCAAACTGAAGTTACAAGCTGATTGGCTCCCATGCACAGCTGTACCAGATTCTGAGTGCTCCAGTTCTAGCAAAGCTACTCCTTGTGGGTCATTTAACACAGAAGAGGAGCAGCCATCTCAATTTAGGGTGGAGACACCGATATGTAGAAAGGGGAAATGATGCAATACAACTTTTTTTCTGAAAAAAAAAAGAAGATAAAACAAGCATTTTGTTAAATGAAAGTAGGCTTTTTGGCTAGGTTCACGCTATGCTGGTTTCCTAATGGACGCGTTTGTGTGGACACATCAGCCTATTTGTTTGAATGGGCTGTTGTACCTACAGAAAGCTCAGGGAACAGGTCTCTGCACCTGTAGACGACTTCCTCAGGGAGCACTTGCAGAAGAGGAGGAGCAGAGAACACTAGCGGGGGACCCCAGAAGAGAAGGTAAGGGACTGCTCTGTGCAATGGTATTGCACAGAGAAGGTAAGTATAATTTCTTTTTTATTATAGGAAACAAAAATAGCCTTTATATCCACATTAACAGTGACTGTTTCCATTCTCCAAGCATGTAAATATAGTGGCACTTGTTCTTTTGTATTGTATGGCTCTTTTCAGATTAATTCATGGTACTGGGTAAATATAAGCAGCATTAACAACCTCGCTGATGTCCATGATCTGTATGTTGGCGGGCCACCTCTGAACAAGGAAAGCAGGGAGCTGTTTGTAAAGGGAAGCATGGCGGACATCAGAGCAGACTTCCAGGTGAGCATGCTTTGATTCAGTTTAATTTCATGGGGCCTATGCTGTTTGTTGGCTCTTTAGTTTTAAAGGAGGTAATGAAAGACCATTGGAAGCAGATTGGTGGGCCGTGATATTGTATCCCTAGATTGTGTGCTCCATTGCTCATAACCCACCAACAGGTATTGTAGCTGGAGTGCTAAAATTTAATAGTGAGATATACTTCGCTGACTGTTTCAGTATCAGTATTTGTATTATTATTATTATTATTATTATTACATCGAGTTTATATAGCGCCAAAGGGTTTGCTCAGCGCTGTACAATAGGGGGGACAATACATGGCACAGTACAACAAAAACAGACAGCGTAGGGGGGGTAAGAGGGCCCTACTTTTTCAAGCTTACAATCTAGGAGGGGGGGGGTAGTGGAACAATAGGAAGTGGCTGAGGGGAATGAAGTGGCTGAGGGGGATGAAGTGGTGGGAGGAATGAGGGAGAATGGCCATTAGGTGAGCGTGGGGTAGGCTTCCCTGAAGAGATGGGTTTTGAGGGAGCGCCTGAATGTGGGGAGGGAAGGCGACAGTCGGATGGATTGGGGCAGTGAGTTTCAGAGGATAGGGGAGGACCTGGAGAAGTCCTGCAGTCGTGCATGGGAGGAGGAGACCAGGGAGCAGGATAGAAGGAGGTCCTGTGAGGAGCGAATGGTACGGGTAGGGTGGTACTTGGGGATCAGATTGGTGAGGTAGTCAGGGGCAGTGTTATGAACGGCTTTGTAGGTCAGGATTAGAAGTTTAAATTTGATGCGTTGGGCAATCGGGAGCCAGTGGAGGGAGAGGCAGAGGGGGGTGGTAGAGGTGGAGCGGGTGGTGAGGTGGATGAGTCTGGCCGCTGAGTTCAGGATGGTCTGGAGCGGGGAGAGCCTGCACTTGGGTAGGCCAGTGAGAAGAGAGTTGCAATAGTCAAGGCGTGAGATGATGAGGGAGTGTACAAGAAGTTTGGTGGTGTCTGGGGTGAGGAAGGTACGTATCTTGGCAATATTGCGGAGATGGAGCCTGCAGGTGTTTGCAAGTGATTTGACATGAGGCAGGAAGGAGAGGTTTGAGTCAAGAATGACGCCAAGGACTTTGGCTTGCGGGGCAGGAATGATAGTGGTGTTGGTGGTGGTGATGGATAGGATGGGGGGGATAGATTTGTATGTCTAGATTCTTAGTTTATTGCAGGTATATTTTTTAAAACCATGAGAGAAGTGAAAGTCCAACACAGACACTTTATGAAATAAAATTGCAGTCCTTTATTCGTTCTACATCAAGACATAAAATGAAATATAATTTAATTTCGTTATCCATTGAGACATAAAAAGAATCCATCCAGTGCAAAGACTGACGCATTTCAGCCCCACAGTCATAAATGTCGATTATGACTAAGGCCCAAAGTTTGTGTGGCTGAAACGCGTCAGTTTTTACCTTGGGTGGATTTTTTTTATGTGTCAATGGATAACGAAATTAAATTTTATTTCATACCGTGTGGGTACTGGACTTTCACTTCTCTCATGGCTTTCAACAGTATATACAATGTTGTTCTGGCATAGACTGTATACCTTTATCCTGCAGCTAATGAAAAATTTAGGGTTTTGTAGCACCATAAGCTTTCTTTCTGGATATATTTCAAAAGTTCTTAGTTGTATTATTTATGTTTTTGGTGTAATGTAAAATCTGTGCTTTTCTTCTTGGCAATGTAGAATCTCATGAAGTACTGTGCCCAGGATGTACGTGCAACACATGAAGTGTTCAGGGAACAGTTTCCACTTTTTATGGAGAGGTAATCTATACCAGTGTTTCTCAACCTTTTTTCAGTTAAGGCACACTTTAAAATTATGGACAGTCTTGAGGCACCCCAATCTAAAATGAGAAAAACAATTCTCATAGTTTCATATAACGCAGCTACATCTACACACGTAGGACACCCAACACTAGAGGTGATTCATTCTTCCAAAGCAAACACACCTTTGCACACTGGTACTGAGATGTATTTCAGTGTTTCTCCTCTCCTCTCAGTTTTGTGACCCCAGCACTGATGGAGAGGGGCAGGGGAAGGTCATACTAGGGTGCTATGCAGTCAACTGACATCCTCCTTATCAACTGATGATGTCATTGGTTGTCAGGATGCTGGCGGCTAGAAGGTTGTAATGGTGCACAATGAAAACCTGTGGGTTCATGTAACTAAAAGGCGGGCTTGTTCCACCCACTGGCTTGTATACAAGTTTTGGGCAATTTTTAGACATTTTGCCAAGGCACCCCTGACGAAACCTCAAGGCACCCTGGTTAAGAAAGGCTGGTCTATACTGATGTATAGTGGTTGTAGATTTGTGCTAAACATTGAAGATCCTGGTTTCTATGCGTTTTACTGCAAAGGCTTCTCCTTCTGAACATCCAGCATCATACCTGAAAGTTACTGAAATGCCAATAATTTCTGGTCAGCAGCCGTTGGCCCTCCAACTACAGGGAGGCCAGACACAGTAGTGTTTATAAGACCATTCCCAGAGAAGGAGCCTGAACATGACACTGAACGAGAGCTCGCTGTGAGAGCTCCCGGGTAACAGGCACCTCCATTGCCTTGCCGGGAAAGAGAAATTATGCAAGTGTGGCAGAGACTTAGCTGAAAGAGAGTCTTCCTTGGGAGAGCGCAAGTCCCGAGGGCCCGGTTGTGTGGGGTCCAGAGTTGAAGGAGACCCGGCTGAGATGGAGCAGGAGATTGGGAGGCGGTGTGTCGGCTGAGAGAGGAGAAGTGGCGGAACTAGTTGGCGCTAGGAGGACGCCGGGCGGTCACATGACACGCCGCAAGGGAGTACTGGGAGGCGGAGAAGCTGGCCGGTGTGTGTGAGTGCAAGAGACATGGCTTTCTCCCCCTCTGTATGGAACTGCTGTGGCCTTGGCTTGGTGGTGGCATGTAGCCAGCTGGCTCAAACCACGCTGGGCGAGTTCACCCCTACTGAAGAGCAAAGGATAACCCTACAGGATCGGACTAAGAACAGCTGGGGGAGCCCCCACCCCTGGAGTCGTCAACCACAAGGAAGGATTTCTGAAGTTATAATCCTCAAAGGAGAATATATGAAGCCGCCTCACCAAAAGTAAAGGAGGAAAGAGAAAAGAGGGTGAGTGAAAGTGGTAATTGTCGCCCTTAGCGATTAATGTGACTGATATACTGTATTTTGAATAGAACTTTGTTACAAATCTTTGGGGGGGCTTACCCAAGGGGCCTTAAAAAGAGGATAGATAAAGACCCTTGAAGATTTGAGAACCTCTGCAGACGACTTTAAGAGAGGGAAGGGGAAGGAAAGAAAAAGGAGAAAAATGTTTAAAGGACAATATCCCTAGAGGATTTATAATCTCTAGAAGAAAGTGAAAATAACCCCCCAGTCACGGAAAAAAAAATTGAAACAATCATCGATCAAATGAAAAATAAAGCGTCAAAGGGCGGGGGGCCTAAAGCTTCCCAAACAAGTTCAATTAAAAAATTTATACCCTCACAGGAAAAACAAACCCCAGAAACACAACAGGGAACAAGTGGAAGAAGTGAGATGGAAAACAGTATTGCTGAACATTCCAGACTATCCATGTGAATAACTAATACTAGTCAAAACATAGAAGAGGAACTTGATACGGAAAATTTAGAAGAACAGGAGCAGAGCTCACAATTGCCAGCTAAAATAGAAATAGCAGAAATGTTCAAAGGACTTGAAAGATCAATAAAACAGGAAATGACAAAATTACATAAAGACCTGGGGCAAATATTATCAAGGGTGGAAGAGACGGAAGGAAAACTAGAAAAACATTCCCAAACTATACAGAAATCAGAAAGACAATTGATAGAAATGAGAAGAGAACAAAGAATAGGAAAAGAAGATGTAATATTAGGATAAGAGGCCTTCCAGAGTTTACTCAAGGAGAAGATCTGAGGAGAACAATAGGGAAAGTGCTGAATAGTGTAATGGACAGATCTAAAACAGAGCTTATTAAAATGGATAGAGTATATAGAACTGGAAGAATTCAACAAGAAGGTAGATCGAGAGATGTAATTGTTCAGTTCCACAATTATCAAGATAAAGAAGAGCTCTGGAAAAAGATCAAAGGAAGAGCAATAATAAAATATGGAAAAATAAATATAGAGATCTTTTCTGATTTAGCAGCGGAAACATTAATAAAAGGAGACTATAAGACCATTCCTTGTAACTCCTTTTTCTTTCCCACTGACAGTGTGTTGCCACAGGTCTTGTGTTCTTCAAGACCCACATGTTGTCTATCATCATTATGAGAAGCTGAATCTGTGTAGAGTAGAGGTGGGGGGAAAAAAGGGGGAATTGGGGGGAAAAAACAGTTTTTTTGTTTTTTTTATTTTTATTTTTTTTCAAAGCCATTTTTTTCTGGAAAAATTGTATAAAAAGTGTGGAATATGTTATTTTACAATGATAAGTAATATATCTATGATATGTTATTCAAACTATTTAGCATGAAGACCTTAATGAAAGATTTCTGAGAGTTTTTTAAATATTGTAAGTTCCCTCAGCTAAAGACAAACAAATCCTGGAATATAATTCAAGTAACACTACTTCTCAATGCAGTGCTCAAACAAGAGAAATATGCATTTCTACCACTAGGGGGCACTGCAGGAGAAAGGCTCCAGTTTAGTTTGCCTGTAGGCTCCATTTTGTACCTCCTGCAGTTGGGTGAATGTTGGGATACAGTAGATGATCATTTCTGTCCTCTCAGGATAAAATTGTCTGACAATTTTATTTTATATTTATAACCTTTAAATGATTCCTATTAATGTTCTTCACCGTCACACTATAATGTGTACCTATATCCTGCTCAGTAAATTGTTTTTTCTTTTCCTTCTCTCAGTAAAATGTTGAGACCAACATCTAGAATTTGGAAACATTTCCCCAGTGCAATTTCTGCTGAAAGCAAATCTGCAATTTGCAAATATTGTGAGAAGAAATATTATTTTCCAAATGCTACAAGGATGACAAAAACATCCCTGCATGCCAGAGGTGCCCTAAAGACATTAACCACTTGAGCTCCTGAGGATTTACCCCCCTTAATGACCACGCCTCTTTTTGCTACTTGGCGCTGCACTAATTCAACTGATAATTGCGCGGTCATGCAATGCTGCACCCAAACGAAATTTACGTCCTTTTTTTCACACAAAGAGAGCTTTCTTTCGGTGTAATTTGATCACCTGTGCGCTTTTTATTTTTCACCCTATAAACAAAAAAAGGCCAAAAATTTTGAAGAAAAACAATATTTTTTTACTTTCAGCTATAAAAAATATATAGTAAACTCAAAGTTGGTTATAAATTTAGGCCAAAATGTATTCTGCTCCATGTTTTTGGTAAAAAAAATCCCAATAAGTGTATATTGATTGCTTTGTGTGGAAGTTATAGCGTCTACAAACTATGGTATAAATACTGCAATTTACGCCATTTTTCTGCTATACAGCGCTGCGCTAGTTTAACGTACAATTGCGCGGTCATGCAATATGGTACATAAATGAAATTTACATCCTTTTTTTCCCCACAAATTGAGCTTTCTTTCGGTGGTATTTGATCGCCTGTGCGGTTTTTATTTTTGCGCTATAAAAAAAAAGGCTGACAATTTTGAGGAAAAAAAAGCAATATTTTGGACTTTTTTGCTATAAAACATGTCCAGTAAAAAAAAATGCAAAAATCTAATTTAGTCATAAATTTCTGCCAAAATGCATTCTGCGACATGTCTTTGCTAAAAAAAAAAAAACCAATACGTGTAAATTAATTGGTTTACGTGAAAGTTATAGCGTTTACAAATGGCGGGAAAGATACTGGGATTTTTAATTTTTATTTATACTAATAATGGCGCCGATCAGCGACATATGACGGCGACCAGCGACTTATAGCGGGACTGCGGCGGACATTTTGACACTGGGGGGGAACTGACTTGGGGTCACTGACATCCCCAGTGACACCAATACAGTGATCAGTGAAAAAAAACCACTGAAACTGTACTAATGTCACTGAGGAGGAAGGGGTTAACATTTTTAGAATTTGCTGTGTAAGGGGAGTGTTTTACTAGGGGGTGGGGGTGTGTACTGGACGGGGAGGGAGGGGGGAGCTGATCGAGGGAGAGAATCTCTTCTCTCCCTCTGCAGCTTGTCGGTGAACTGTCACAGAGCAGGGCTGTGTGTAAACAATGCAGCCCTGCTCTGTGTCAGTGATCACCGCTCATCGCGGGAAAACGGCTTTCACGCTATCACACATTGAATGACAATTGCGCGGTCATGCAACACTGCACCCATATGAATTTTTACCATTTTTTTGAGACAGATAAAACTTTATTTTGGTGGTATTTATTCACTGCTGGGATTTTTATTTTTTTTGCTATGTAAATGAAAATGTCCAAAAAGCTTTAAAAAAAGTGTTTTTCTTATAAAATTTTGCAAATAAATAATATTTCAGAGGACACAGCGGGCACCGGATTGCGGTGCTAGTGCGCACAAGCAGGGTGCAGGGAGGCCGTTTATAAACGGCCACCCGACCCTGCTGTGCCACCTTCCAGCCATTTATATACAACAGCCAGTCTGGAAGTGGTTAAAAACACTTGCAGACATGCAACCATGGACGCAGACATTCTCCATAGGTTCTCAGTGCCCTTACACACTGTAGGACAGTGGTTCTCAACCTTCCTAATTCCGTGACCGTTTAATACAGTTCCTCATGTTGTGGTGACCCCCAACCATAAAATTATTTACCCAGTAATTATAATTCATGAAGTGTCGTTTTACCTCCAATACTGCTGCTTTCAACACAGTAGCTGCTTTCAACACAGTAGCTGCTTTCAACACAGTAGCTGCTTTCAACACAGTAGCTGCTTTCTACACATCGGAAATGTGTTTTCCCAGATGGTCTTAGGTGATCCCTGTGAAAGGGTTGTTCGATCCCCAAAGGGGGTCACGACCCACAGGTTGAGAACCACTGCTGTAGGGCCTCCTTGTAGCTGTGCACAAGCCCTATAATTATTATTACAAGGTTGCGGAACCTCCTCTTCTGTAGATGCAAGTTACCTGAATGTCCTGTTGACTCTTTTGAATCAATACATGGAGTTGGTGAGCTGAGATGAGTATGGAGATAGAGACTGCTGCAGTTGTTCTTATTTTACAGCGATCATTTTATAGCTGTAAGACCCACCCCCTCATTTGGGAGTTTCGGTATCAACAGCAGAAGGCAGGATTCGGCCATGACATACAATCCTTGCAATGTATGTAAGCTGATCAGAGAAGGATTGTTTCAGCTCAGAGTTAGTTGCACTTTAAGACCCCAGTCACATGCCAAGTCACACCCTATTGTCTGCAATTACAACGGTCATATCAGTGCTGTTCCATCGGAGCCGCACCGATTTCTAAAGTAGTACTTGGACTCCTTTTGGTGCAATTTGCACAGACATCTGTGTCAGATGTCTTGCAAATCACACCTGAAATCGGCAGGTCCACCGACTTTGAAATCATGTGACTTACAGTGAAGTCATACGACTTCAAAGTCGGGCTTGATGTGACCGGGGTGTAAGAGTATTAATAATGACAGCATATGTGTGTGTGTGTATATGTTTGTATGTATGTGTGTATGTATGTGTGTGTGTGTGTATGTATTTGTGTGTGTGTGTGTATGTGTATGTGTGTGTATGTGTGTGTGTGTATTTGTGTGTGTGTGTATATGTATGTATGCATGTGTGTATATATATATTATATATATATATATATATATATATATATATATATATATATATATATAAGCTTTCCTTAATGTGATGGTTATTTGGCTTCTTTCCATTATACTTGCAACCAGCATCATCAGTGCCTCCTCATCCATGCTTCCTATTCGTGCCAACTCATCCGTGACGCCTATTCGTGCCACCTCATCCATGCTGCCTATTTGTGCCACCTCATCCGTGCTGCCTATTCGTGCCGCCTCATCCGTGCTGCCTATTCGTGCCGCCTCATCCGTGCCGCCTATTCGTGCCACCTCATCCGTGCTGCCTATTCGTGCCGCCTCATCCGTGCCGCCTCATCCGCCTATTGTGCCGCCTCATCCGTGCTGCCTATTCGTGCTGCCTCATCCATGCTGCCTATTCGTGCCACCTCATCCGTGCTTCCTATTCGTGCCGCCTCATCAGTGCTGCCTATTCGTGCCGCCTCATCAGTGCTGCCTATTCGTGCCGCCTCATCCGTGCTGCCTATTCGTGCCGCCTCATCCGTGCTGCCTATTCGTGCCGCCTCATCCGTGCTGCCATTCGTGCCGCCTCATCAGTGCTGCCTATTCGTGCATCCGTGCCGCCTATTCGTGCCACCTCATCCGTGCTGCCTATTCGTGCCGCCTTATCCGTGCTGCCTATTCGTGCCCTACCTCATCCGTGCCGCCTATTCGTGCCACCTCATCCGTGCCGCCTATTCGTGCCACCTCATCGTCCGCCTCTCCGTGCCGCCTATTCGTGCCGCCTCATCCGTGCTGCCTATTCGTGCCGCCTCATCCGTGCCGCCTATTCGTGCCGCCTCATCCGTGCATCCGTGCCCTATTCGTGCCGCCTCATCCGTGCCGCCTATTTGCCACCTCATCCGTGCGCCTATTCGTGCCGCCTATTCGTGCCCTCATCCGTGCCGCCTATTCGTGCCGCCTCCTCATCCGTGCCGCCTATTCGCTGCCTATTGCCGCCTCATCCGTGCCGCCTATTCGTGCCACCTCATCAGTGCTGCCTATCTGTGCACAGCTGCCCAAATGCTTCCACCTGACCAGCAGGAGTCTGCTTGTCAGATGTACACATTCTCGATGGCTGCAGCCACGGGGAGCGTGTATAAAACACTGTTGGGTCCTTACTTTTATATAAGAGAGGGATTTTGCCTTAAGCTGGCCATACACAGAGCAAGTTTTGTCTGATTGCTGTTGAACCGGCTGAAATATGAGCCATGGGTGGCCCTGTCGGCATCCCTCCGCCTAACATCCTTTGAGTTGAAAACCAAAGAAGCTTACCTCAACGTTGTTGGATGAACAGCAGCTGCATCCAGTCCGATGCATCCACTGTTCAGGTATTCTGAAGCCTGCAGGTGCCGGCTGTAAGAATACAGTCATCTGTTGTTTAGCATGAATGGTGGAATCCAGTGATTTCTCTTGTTCAGCTTACCCGTTGGCCATAACCAGCTTTACTTACTGTCCTGTGACAAGGGTTCAAACGATACTAAAGGTCCTTTTTTTTCTTTTCAGTGTAAAATAACAAACATGTCTATACTTACCTGCTGTATGTAGTGGTTTTGCACAGAGCAGCCTGGATCTTTCTGTTCTCGGGCCTCCCGCAGCTTTCCTGGCTCCTCCTTTCTGTCCATTCACACACGGAACCAAGGCTTGGCACCGCCCCCTTTCTCATCATTGGCTGACTGGCTGCGATTGACAGCAGCGGGAGCCAATTGCTCCCATTTGCTGTCTCAGCCAATGAGAAGGCAGAGACCTGGGACAGCCGAGGATGTCATGCACATCGCTAGATCTCGATGGGGCTCAGGTAAGTATTGAGGGGGCTGGGGGGCACTGCTGCACACAGAAGATTTTTGAGGGTATAAAACCTTGAGCCTTTACAACCACTTTCACCTAACAAGAACAGGTAGCTGGTGGTTGTCGGAAAAAAGGGGGGGGGGGGGGTAGCCACCTAACATGACACGTAAATATGTGTCATATAAATTTCTCCGTCTCACTAATAATAAGTGTGGATTTATAAACCCAAAAGCTTAACGTAGAACATAGCAGTATGACAAGTGCAATACTGCTCACACAGAGTGGTTATTAGAAAATCCAACGGAGTAGTATAGTTAGTATTAGCAAACAAGTTTTATTCGATCACATGGATTATACTGAGGTTAGACAAAGACATGGTAAACATATTTTTATAAAATCACTGAATTAAAAGCGTTCGGCGTCTCCAGATCAACTGGTATTCGGCAATCAGGAATCCACATAAGGCAATGAAGTTCCTAACTACTAGATCAAAAGATTTCCATAGTTTCCATATAGTGTCTGCATGAGGGGAACATTCTTCAAAAAATGTATTAGTGACCACTACAGTGAAAAGAATGACCTCCTGAAAATGGAAAACCAGAAAAAAAGATCATAGTAGAGGGAAACAAACCATAGGGTATATGCATTAAACCTATGCAATAGTAAAACAACCCCATAACAGGTATATATGTTATTCCGTTACCTTCTCATAAACTTGACCATCATCAAAAGATGGATATATAGCCTTCCTGGATAGCCACCCCAAATGGAAATGTATCCACAATAGTAAGTGATTCTAAAAAATATATAAATATAAAACATGAATAAGGCTACCAACAGACCTGAATTAATTTAAAGAGAAGGGTAAAAATCAAAACAACCATTTTACCATTACATTACATTGAGTTTATATAGCGCCAAAGGGTTTGCTCAGCGCTGTACAATAGAGGGGGGGACAATACATGAAACATTACAGCAGCTACGAGCAGCACACGAGGGGTAAGAGGGCCCTACTCTTTCGAGCTTACAATCTGGGAATACCATACAAAAAGATCAAGGGGACTCCTCCTCTCTTGAAGTAAGATCAGGTCTGAATGAACCAGTGAATATGGGGGTGGGCAGCCAGGTAGCTGGTATATAGAATCCAGACTGATTAATACAGTCTATGTATATATGAATATATAGACCCAGAACTGGGTTTCCAAAAATTGCTCAATAATGAGAAAGTAATGCGGTTCCTAAAAAAATGTATGAGACTGTAGAAGCCTGCCACAGCACATATAAAAGCATGGTATATAGATATTCCTCCTGTGGGAGTTCAAAAAATTCCCCCAAAGGGGGTAAATAGACACAAGATTTCACAAAAATGTGGGGTTATAAAACCCGTTTGTATTGATATCACTAACGCCTAATTTAGCCTAACGGCTATAGACTTGCCACCGGTGGAAGTAGGCTGTGACTCAAAGTTGCCATGTGCGGGCTGCTTTGAATGATGTCCTCATCATAATTAGAGTGTCTCCTGCCTTTCCAATGTGGAGCTGAAGCAAACCGCTTCTTCCTCCTTCGTGGGCACCGCGCCCTATGGAGACGCCGAGCGTAATGATGTCATCACGTTATGGCAGCTGGTGGTTGTCACTTAAACAAAGGAGAGTTCCTGTGTCCTGCTCCTCCTGTGAAGTCTGTGCAGTTCTGGCTTCTTTATTGAAATACTGGTCCTAATTCACAGTAGCTGTAATTTTGGTACTGAGATTGAAACCATGAAATGTATTATTCAGTTTTTGATGACAATATTGTAACACATTTCCCATTGATTTTCCAGGTGTCCTCATCCGGTGACTTTGGCCGGCATGTTAGAGATGGGGGTGTCCTACCTGCCGGTGAATCAGAACTGGCAAAGATATATAGATGAGGCTCAGACTACGTACGAGGAGATGCAGAAGGAGATGAAGAAATCTCTGATGAACTTGGCTAACGATGCTTGTCAGCTTCTCTCAGATGATGCGTAGGTGACAACAACAAAAATACATGTGACTTGTTATCAAAGTGCTTGGAGGTCAACCTGTTTGTGTTGCCCATTGCAAGAAGTTGGGCTCCCAAATGTATTTTTTCATATTACATTGAAGGAAGGGAGAGTGACATTAGATGATGATTTTATAATTTAACACTTCTACATAATCTTTAACCACTTCAATACCGGGCACTTTCACCCTCTTCCCACCCAGGCCAATTTTTAGCTCTCGGTACTGTTGCACTTTGAATGACAATTGCGTGGTCATGCAACACTGTACCCATATGAAATTTGTATCATTTTTTGGGACCATTTTTTTATTTTTTGCTAAACAAACGATCAAAACTTTTTAAAATAAAAAAAATAATTTTCTTAGTTTCTGTTATAAAATTTTACTAATAAGCAATTTTTCTTCTTTACTGATGTGTGCTGATGAGGCTACACTGATGGATGTTGTGGGGCTGCACTGACGGGTTTTGATGAGGCTGCACTGATGGGTATTGAAGAGGCTGCAGTGATGGATGTTGGTGAGGCTTCAGTGATGGATGTTGGTGAGGCTGCAGTGATGGATGTTGGTGAGGCTGCACTGATGGATGTTGGTGAGGCTGCACCGATGGGTATTGATGAGGCTGCACCGATGGGTATTGATGAGGCTGCACCGATGGGTATTGATGAGGCTGCACTGATGGGAACTGGTAAGCTGCACTGATGGGTATTGATGAGGCTGCACTGATGGGTATTGGTGAGGCTGCACTGATGGGTATTGGTGAGGCTGCACTGATGGGTATTGGTGAGGCTGCACTGATGGGTATTGGTGAGGCTGCACTGATGGGTATTGATGAGGCTGCAGTGATGGGTATTGGTGAGGCTGCACTGATGGGTATTGGTGAGGCTGCACTGATGGGTATTGGTGAGGCTGCACTGATGGGTATTGGTGAGGCTGCAGTGATGGGTATTGGTGAGGCTGCAGTGATGGGTATCGATGAGGCTGCAGTGATGGGTATCGATGAGGCTGCAGTGATGGGTATCGATGAGGCTGCACTGATGGGTATTGATGAGGCTGCACTGATGGGTATTGATGAGGCTGCACTGATGGGTATTGATGAGGCTGCAGTGATGGGTATTGGTGAGGCTGCAGTGATGGGTATTGGTGAGGCTGCACTGATGGGAACTGATAAGCTGCACTGATGGTGCTGCACTTATCAGGGAACTGATTCTCAGTGTAAACAATGTACTGACAGCTTTGCTGGTTATCAGCTCTCCTTTCCTGACACAGACACAGCATGTAAGGAAAGGGAATGCAGATAACTGGTAAGTCTTTTTACATGTGACGAGCTGTGATTGGACCTTTACCGTGATCTGTGATCATCAATCCAAAGGACACAATGGTCACAGAGCTTGTCCCAGGGGACACGCGGGAGGCGGGGTTCTGGGAGGAACGCCCTCCCAGAACTGCCTTTCGGCTATAGCAGGGTCAGAAAGTGGTTAAAGTGGAATTAAACCTAAAAGTTAAAACTGCTCTGCATACACTTACGACAGGGCTTTGTGCCAAGATGACTTCAAGTGGTTCAAAAGTCTAAACATTTTGTATCTTAAAGTGTTCCTAAACCCACAACAGTACAGTCTGTATATGCAGTAAAGCATGCTTGTTATACTCACTGTGGAACATAAGGGGTTAATCCTCCACGTTGTGTAAAAAGGCTGTTTGATCCTGTCTTCTCTGCCCCTCCTCTTGTTCAAATGTTCACACTGATGAGACAGACTGAACCTGTAGCCCTTCTGCACATGCTCAATTTAGTGTGTATTGCTAGAGAGGTTTTTTTTTTCTTGAGAGAGTGCATGTGATCAGCACTGTCCAGACAGAGGTCAGGGGTTTTGCACCCTTCTAGAGCAGAAGGAAAACTCCTGCAAGCTTTAACCAGTGCTCTGCTGAAGTTACAACACTGCTCTAACTGCTTCCCAGACAGGCTGGGAAAGTTCTGGGTCGCATGACAGCTGTAAATTGATTAGGAAAAGGTACTTATATGGTTTTTTTTTTGTTATTAAAATAATTAAAGTGCAATCATCCACATACAGAAAGAGAAGGGATAATCTAAATTAAACAGAGTTTGTTTAGTATCACTTTAATGGCGTACTCGATAATATGTCCTTCATATGTACATTTGTTTTCAGGTACAAAACCGACCCTTGGCTTTGGGATTTAGAATGGGATGTCCAAGAATTCAAACAAAAGAAGACAAAAGTCAGCAAAAAGACAAAAGAAGTAAAATCATTCTCAGAGCATGCTGCAGTATCCACTAATCACTCAGATTCTCAGGAAGGTGAGACAGCCATTAAAGCACATCTGTATCCTAATAAAACAAGCCATATACTAAGCACATTTCTTTCCTCCAATTACGGGTTTAACCCCGTAGCACTCCCATCCAGCCGTTTATCGACATGGGCCAGACAGGAGCACTGCCAATGTGGGTGGACGTTTCTAAACGTCCCCCCGCATCCATTGCCTGTGCGCGATTGGTTCTCGCTGTGCACAGAGAACACAGATCACTGTACGGGACTTCTGTGTGAGGGCCTGATTCATGTGATCACTGATTGGCCAATCAGTGATCACATGAACAGTAGTAAACAAGATGTTCCTTCCTGACATCATTGCTTACTACTTGTGAAATCTGTGAATGATCACAGAGGTCACATGGTACAAGGCCATTCACAACAGCCTTGTACCATGTGACAAGCTGTGACAAATCACAGCTCTCACGGTATTTTTCCATGGCTGCAAGAATGCAGCCAGAGAGAATGAGAAATTATTGCTTTTACAGCCTTAATGGGTGTAAAAGCAATCCGTGTAAAAAAAAAGAAAAAAAAAATCTTCATTACCCCCCACAAGTAGTACAGTGTCACTATGGTGACACGGTACTGCTAGGGTGACAGTATGTTAAAAAAAAAAAAAAAAACATAAATAATATATAAAAAAAAAAAAAAAATTTAAATTATAATGTTTGGTTATAAACTAATTTGGGTCATTTTTTTCTTTGCTAAAAAGATAACTGAATACATTTTGGACAAGATTTATGAAGAAAAATTATTTATTTGCAAAATTGTATAAGAAAAACACTTTTTTTTCAAAATGTTTGGACTTTTTCATTTTATGTAGAAAAAAAAATAAAAATCCCAGTGGTGAATAAATACCACCAAAATAAAGTTTTATCTGTCTCAAAAAATGCAAAGAAAATGATATGGGTACAGTGTTGCATGACCGCGCAATTGTCATTCAAAGTGTGACAGTTCTGAAAGCTGAAAATAGGCCTGGACTGGAAGGTGGTGCAAGTGTCTGGATTTCAAGTGGTTAAGGAATGAAATTGCTCAGTTTCTCCATCAAGGCATTCAGTGTTGATGAGGGAATTCATCCTGCAGTGCTATTGTGGGATCGTTCCCCACCGGTGGAATCCAATGATCACTACAGCTGCCGGCAGTGATTGAACACAATGATAAAAAAAATGATAGGCTGATTGTATTGAAGTCAATCCTCCCATACAGCCATCCCTCCCATAGGTGGATTGGATTGAACAAATTTCGATCCATCTATAGCTGTCTTTAGAAGCTCCATCTAGTTAGTGGTCTGTAGCGAAAGTTGCACAATTACAAAATGCCAGTAAAGCTGACCATAGAGGGATAGAATTTCAATGAAAATTTGTGTGAAAAGTCTTAGGAAAATTCATACGAAATTTCTCAGAGCATTTCGATGGTCGATGGAAAGATTTCATTTGTTTTCAACATTTGCAGTCTATTCAGCTGAGCTATTTGAGCCCATCACAAAGGCTCTCTCAACTATGTATCATATTAAGAGTCCATTATACTCCCAAATTGTATGATATAGGTCTAGTACAAGTACCTACTTGTGGTAGGTTGTAGGGGCCCCGGGGACCTAATACACATGCCAAGTTGCATAGATATTGGGAAAACAGCTGTAAATATTATTAATGGCGCATTTGATACAGAAGTCAAGTTAGATCCTAAACCATGTACATTGGGTATAATGGGCGGTGTGGTTCCACAGCCACCTACTAGAGTGGAAGCTTCAATTCCATTAATTCAGGAGGAGTGGATTCGTAATATGGGTACTACATTGAGGTATGAATGTTTAATTTTTCAACATTCAGATTGTCCCACTAAATTCATAAGAATGTGGGAGGGCTGGGTGAACACCCCGGGTCTGGCACCATTTGATCTAAGAGTTATATGAAAACCTTAGAGGTTACAGTAATTAAGGGGGTATAGGGGAATCAGGAAGGCCCAGCACATGAGCACGATTGATAAAATGCTGAGGGTTTGAGTATATGATCTAAGCTGTCCATCATACTGCCCCAAACTACATCACCGACCTGATATCCAAGTACCACCCAACACGCACTCTCCGCTCCTCACAAGACCTCCTTTTCTCTAGTTCCCTGGTCTCCTCCTTTGCCCGCCTCCAGGACTTCTCCAGGGCGTCACCCATCCTCTCTAACTCCCTACCTCAATCCATCAGACTATCACCTACTTTCCCCTCCTTTAGGCGCACCCTGAAAACCCACCTCTTCGGGGAAGCCTACCCCGCCCCCTGCTAATTGCCACCCTCCTCCACTCTTCCTACCACTCCATCCCCACAGCTATTTCCTCCTGTACCACTTTCCCCTCCCTCCTAGATTGTAAGCTCCAAGGAGCAGGGCCCACGAACCCCTCGTGTATCACATTGTATTGTTATTGTACTGTCGCATGTACTGTCTCCCATTTTAATGTACAGCGCTGACCGAATGCTTTATAAATACTGATATATATAATGCAGCGCTGTATGGTATTTGCAAATATTACTGTTAATTTGAAAAATCACAAATAGAATGCAGTCCTGTATAGGTGCTCGCTGTTTTTCCAGTGCAAATGATAGAAATGCGCACTAACCAGAAGCGTATTGATAATACGCAGGTATATCAATATCCTGAAGAATCCCCACTCTTTCTGGTCAAAGTGCAGATTGGAACTGGAAAATGTAAGGATGAAGTGCCCTCGTGTGGTGAAGATGAGATCCGACAGGCCAGAAGTATCCTTGCAGAGATGTATGGAATGCAATGTTCCCCCTCTCTGGAACTGATATTAGGATCACACTGGGCTGTAAAATTTGTAAAACTCCTCACAGGAGACCAAGGGAGAAACTCATAGTGTAGTATGTCGATAATCACTTTATTACTCAAAAAGACGTAGATAAAAAAATCACAATGGTGCCAGATACATGTGAATGACTGACCCTCCAAACTCAAAGATGGCCGCCGGGCCTCCACGTGGCACCGGCGGCGTGACGTCACGACGTTCTGGGCTCCAACTGACGCGTTTCGAGCGCACGCACTTTTTCAGAGGTAGAGACAGAGGAACACCATGACTATAGCGCTGTCCTTATATACGGGAACTGGCGCATGCGCACTTAATCGGTGCCATTTTGCCGGAGTCGGAACGGCTGTGATGACTCAGTGCGCATGTGCAGCGCCATTTTACCATTTATAAATACTGTATAATAATAAAAAAAAATACGTTTTGTATATTGTATACTGGTATGTTATTTCCTGTGTGTATGGATAAGTGGTATATTTATAATTTAAAAGAAAAATTGATTTTGGAATGAATCGACTTTACCGAATGAAAGCCACATTCGCTGTTAGAAATTCTATCATTTGAGAAAAATTTTCCAACCTGCTCCTTCGAATTTTCTGATCAATGCGGTAGAAGACGAATGTCGATTGGATCCCACTAATGATTAGAAAAATGGACTTTTAGAATTCCTTTCCCAAGAATTTTTGTTCGAAATTCACTTACTGGACTGTTTGATGATGAAATGTACCTGCACCTGTTCTTTTGTGTCATTTTGTTCTTTCCTACTCCACACCCACACCTCCCTCTCCTCAATTTCACATTTATTATATAAAAAGATATCAAACTATGCTTAAATATTCCTTAATATTTTTTTTTATTTTGTTTTGGGAATTGTGCCTCTAGATCCTGGTCCTCCCAGTGAAGAAGAAGAATTGCATCCTCCTCCTGGTAAACTTTATTTGGAGAAGATTATAGAAAAGACTTTACCATCCTTACCAAAACGAAGCCAACACATGCCGGGACATCCAGGGTAAGAGGAAACATAAAAAGTCTTGCTGGTGATGTAAAGTTGTATGTAAATGAGAACTGAGCTGAAGAGTTGTGTTTGTTCATGTAGTTGGTATCGTAAGCTTTGTCCTAAACTGGAAGATCCTGATTGGGTGCCTGGTCCGAGTCTCATCAGCATCCAGATGCGATTAACTCCGAAACTAATGCGTCTGACTTGGGATGGCTTTCCTCTGCATTTCTCGGAGAAGCATGGTTGGGGCTATCTTGTTCCAGGCCGGAAGGACAACCTGTTGGCCAATCAAGAAGAGGATGATGATGCTGCTGGTGCTGCTCTTTGCCCATACGAAGCAATTGAAGATTTATACGCGGAATACAAGAATAAAGCTAAAGTGCATCAAGAGTCCTCTGTTAATGAAGAATTCTTGCTAACAGAACAGAGCAGCATCTGGCAAAAGGTAGAGTAATGGGTTATTGCATTTGTTCTATGGCTTGGTCGTCTGAGTTTCATAGTCAAAGATGATTCAGTTACGGGTATTTTATGCATAGTTAGATTGGTCCAGCCTAGACCAGTGTAACTAAGGGGTTGATTTACTAAAACCAGTTTTAGTTATTCAACCCCGAAGTGTACACCAGGGGCGGACTGACCATTCAAGCACTTGGGCACTGCCCGAGGGCCCAGGGTCAGTAGGGGGCCCCATGAAATGCCCCTGGTACATTTTATAGGCTTTTTTGGGTGTGCTTTGAGTGTGGGCAAGGACACGGGCCCCATGAGTTGTCAGTCCGCCCCTGGTGTATACCATACCTAGCTGATGCCCCCGGAAGCTGGAGATCACTGAAGTGGCTACTCCAGTTATCTCCACTTGCTTTTCAGGTCTCATACAGGGTGGCTGGCCTGCTGCATTCTGAACACGTTAGGTCAGCTGCTCAGCACGGGTGGCATTCAGAGAATGCTTTGCTTTTTGTAAATGAATGCAATACGTTTTCTGATTGGATGTGGTGAATAGTGTGATGTCACCACCCCACCTCTTCACCTTGTCCAATCAGAAAAAGCTTTGCATTCATTCACAAAATGAGTCCACTGTGCTTCGCCACCTGCAGTAATGGCAATGGTCCCATAACCTTAACCTCCTTAGCGGTATTCCCGAGTGTAGCTCGGGGTAAAATTTGAGTACCAAGAGCGGTAACCCCGAGCTACACTCGGGCTTACCATGCGGCGTTGCTCAGGGAGTCCCTGCAGCGCTTACCTTGTTTTTCGCTCCCACGATGTGTCCCCTGCAGCGTCCCCGGCCATCTCCGGCCGATGCCGGCATCCGGCTTCCGTGTTCCGGTCCCTGTGACGTCGGGACGTACAGGCGCCGGAACCGGCGGCAAATTTGAAATTTTTAAAAAATGTAATTTTTTTTTAAAAATGATTATTATATAGTAAAACATTCCTGTATCAAACCATTTCACATACATTTTGTCCCGAGTGCTTTGTCCTGTGCCCTGCCTGCATTTTGACTGTTCTTTCTGCCTGGAAACTGAGAAATGTCCATGGTGTCCAAAAAGCGTCCCTTTACATCAAAAGCGGTTTTAGACCGGCTAGAGAACAGCGATAGTAAATCAGAACCACTTGCAGAATTGAGTGATAATGATTCGTGGGGGAAATTCATCATCAGACACTGAAAACGATTTTGCGACTTTGCTCAGCGATGTTTGAATTTGCCTCTGTATTTCAAATTTCAGTGTTTTTGGTTTGATTATATTATTGAATTAAATTTATTATTATTATATTTTTATTTTTTATGATTATTTATTAAATTATAATTTATGATTTCGTGTTTCAAATTTTATCATATCCGGGATGTTTACTAGACTCTTGTTCGGACAGATTTCAGTGAGTTAATCCTAAAAATTACAGCCTACAATAAAAAACTACATATTTCCATGCAAAAAAATGGTACCGCTTTCAGCACAAAAAATCGGAAATAATCAGACCGCCAGGGAGGTTAAAAATATTATTAGGTCAGGAATTTGGCTGAAAAGAAAGCTAGAAAATATCCAAAATATTTTGGTAAACAAAACATGTGACTGAATCTTTGAACTGCTGGTGTACTTCTAATAAGGCAACAGACGTGCAGTTGGAAGGCTTGTGACTGAACATTTGATTTCTCATTTTTCAGGTAGAGGAACTCAGTCGGCTAGAGACAGACCTGGGCCCTGAAGCATTAACCAAAGCAACATCTAAGAAGGGAAACAAAAAGAAATTGGTGAGTTCCTGTCTTCCATTCATTATTAGACGGTTATGCATTTGGTTTAGGAAAACATTTTTGCATTTGGTTAAAGTGGTTCTAAAGACTGAAGGTTTTTTTTTTTTTTCTACCTTCATGCATTCTATGTGCAGCCTTCAGTGACTACCTGAGCCCGATCCCTATCCAGCACTGTGCACAAGAGCAGAGGCTTTTCCTGGTCTCTGCCTCCTCATTGGCTGAAACACAGCAACGGGAGCCATTAGCTCCAGTCGCTTGTCAATCACAGCTGGGGGGGGTGCTGAGCTGAGCCGCACTCTGTGTCAGACATACAGAGACAGCTCAGGAGCAAGCATACAAGAATGTCCCCAGAGCAAGCTGAATGATCTGGGGGCACTTGTCACTGGCTGTGCTTGACAAGCAGTGGGAGCCAATAGCTCCTGCTGCTGTGTTTCAGTCAAGGGGGGGGGAGCAGAGTGGAGGGTCCAGGAGCGCCGGCGGGGAACCTGAGAAGAAGAGGATCTTGGCTGCTCTGTGCAAAACAATTGAACCCTTTTACAATCACTTTAAATGCTCCTTGAAAATAATTATCAAAAATTATGGAATAGTAGCATTTGTTTGGGTCGAATTCTGTCAAATAAACAAGCTGGAAAACCTTTTATTTGATTGGCGGCCGCAGCCGTAGAGTGCTGCTGTCAGAATACAATTACCTGGCAGGAAGGGGGGGGGATTTCTCTATCCCCCTTCTTTGTGTGGATGGAGTAATTTATTTGACTTTTCTCATTCAGTCCACTGGCTGAGCGGAATAAAAAAAATCCATGGCCAGCTTGAAGGCGAAGTTCACCTTTAAAGTAAATAAATAAATGCACGTATTTTTGTGGGTAAAAAAAATGTTTTTTGGGGGTTTTTTTTTTTGGAGTCTGCAGAGCATTGCACCCATCATCAGCAAATTGCAGGTGCAGTGTCAAGCTCCTGCAGATCCTCAGTATAGCTGTCTGCCCGTACCTCCCATATGTGCAAAAAGTTATTGGAGAGCAGGAAGATCAATAAACTATCAGAGCGCTCACCAGTGCCCTCACAGTTCATTAAGAACTACAAACAGTCCTTCATGGTGGCAGATGGTAGTTGTAGTTCGTTCATTCACAGAGCGCTATAAATAAATGACACTGCTGTTTTGGGCGGAGCCCTGCACGGCTGCGCTCTTTTTAAATTGTGACAACGGGTGCGGGGAGAAGATCCCCCGGGACACATGCAGGTCCTCTTTGGTTACCCTTATGCAGGCCATAGACGGGTTGAAAATCGGCCGATTTTCGCACTGTTAGTGGGTTAATTGGTCGGCCGTTTTTCGGGGTTTTGGCACATTTTTTTTATCGGTAAAGTTGGGAAAAAATCAGCCGATTTTGCCAATCGCGGCAATGATGGGCAAATCGGCCGATAAAAAATCTGCACATGAGCCGTGACCTGCAAGGAGAAGAAAAAGAAGAAAAAAAATAAGAAGAAAAAGAATAAGAATTCCAGTCCGCTATTATATTTGAAATGAAAAGTCTTGCGGTTTCAACAATGTATCTATTTGTATCCAAATAAAAACATCTGTATCCCAAATGGATACAAATAGATACATTGTTGCAACCGCAAGACTTTTTCATGTCAAATATAATAGCGGAGCTCTCTGTAAGGGACAGAAGTAATTAAATGCCGGCCGTAGATGGGACGAAAATCTGCTGATTTTTTTTTTTTTTTTTTTTTTGTACCATTGGTGGTAACGTTGGCCTATTAAATGACCAATTTTTTGTTTTTGTTTTTTTTTTTATAAACGGCCAGTTTTCGAACCGTCCATGGCCTGCATAAATTTAGCTCCAAAGTCAGGGAAATCAAGCCACTTGTAGCAAAGTAGAAGGGATGAAAATCTGCCTTTTTTTTTTTTGGTACCATTGGTGGTAACGTTGGCCTATTGAACGACCGATTTTTTGTTTTTTGTTTTTTTTTTATAAACGGACGGTTTTCGAACCGTCCATGGCCTGCATAAATTTAGCTCCAAAGTCAGGGAAATCAAGCCACTTGTATCAAAGTAGAAGGGACGAAAATCTGCCTTTTTTTTTTTTTTTTCTTTTGTACTGTTGGTGGTAACGTTGGCCTATTGAACGACCGATTTTTTGTTTTTTTTTTTTTTTAGAAACGGACGGTTTTCGAACCGTCTATGGCCTGCATAAATTTAGCTCTAAAGTCAGGGAAATCAAGCCTCTTGTAGCAAAGTAGAAGGGATGAAAATCTGCCTTCTTTTTTTTTTTTTTTTTTTTTACCGTTGGTGGTAACGTAGGCCTATTAAACGACCAATTTTTTGTTTTTTTTTTTTTTTTATAAACGGCCGGTTTTCGACCCGTCTATGGCCTGCATAAATTTAGCTCCAAAGTCAGGGAAATCAAGCCACTTGTAGCAAAGTAAAGCCAGTTTCAGAGGAGTGCACAAGAATCTTTCCTGCCTAACATAGGTAATACTCTGTGATGACTGATCTCAGACAACGCTTTTAGTAGAAGATTTTCTTTTTAAGGCAAAAATCAACTGTCCAGAATTCAATGCACAACTAAGGATAATGGCACTGTAAAGGGAATAGTCATCATTTGAGGATTGCCTTCTGACAAGCTCATTTTTATTGGAATAATTCCCTTTTAAACTTTGCTCTCCAGCTAATTCATCTTCACTTTATAGATGTAGAAGGGCTTTGGGGCTCCTTCAAGTGTTTGTCCACTTCCATTGTGTTCTATGCATGTGTAATTACATATAATTCACACCCTATTCACCGTAACAGGAGCTCCCTGCTGTAGATGAACCCACATTTCAGAACACGGCACCTAATCACCATGGAAATGGCCCTTGCAGTGATGTCAATGTTTCAGGCTGCTGGTTCTACCGTTTGCCGCATAAAGTGAGTCTGAAAAATGCACTTATTACACTTTGTTCCTAATGACATACTACTTACTGGCTTTCACTCTGAACGTTTTCATATGTTGAAACTGCTGTACAATGTTTTGTATCAAGGGAATCAATTAGAATGTAGGAACCTTTTTATAAGAAGCTGTTCTCTGCTGCCTCTTGACACTGTGGCACTGAGCTGTGACATATACATGGGCCGCTGCATACAATTGTTCCCCTAAATGTCAATCGCTGGTAACTAAAATGCATTCATAATATACTTTGTGTTCTCCTGCACACAGCCTCAGCACTGTCTGTTACACCTAAAGTGATATTAACCACTTGCCTGCCCGGCACGTTCACCCCGAGTGCCCAGGCCAATTTTCAGCTTTCAGCGCTGTCGCACTTTGAATGACAATTGCGCGGTCATGCAACACTGTACCCATAAGACATTTTTATCATTTTCTTTCACACAGATAGAGCTTTCTTTTGGTGGTATTTTAATCACCACTGGGGGTTTTATTTTTTGCACCATGAGCAAAAAATTTGGAAAAAAGTTTTTTTCTTTGTTTCAATTCTAAAATTTTGCAAACAGGTAATTTTTTTCCTTCACTGATGTGCATTGGTGAGGCTGCCCTGATGGGCAGCACTGATGAGGTGGCACAGATAGGCGGCACTGATGGGAACTGATAGGCTGCACTGAGAAGGTGGCACAGATAGGCAGCACTGATGGGAACTGATAGGCTGCACTGGTGAGGTGGCACAGATAGGTGGCAGTGATGGGAACTGATAGGCTGCACTAAGGAGGTGGCACAGATAGGCAGCACTAATGGGAACTGATAGGCTGCACTGATGAGGTGACACTGGTGGACCTTGATGATGCTGCACTGATGTGCAGCAATGATGGGCACTGCTGGGTGGCACTGGTGGCCGGCACTGATGGTTGGCACTTCTGGGCACTGATCATCAGGCACTGATCATCAGTGCCCTGATGATCAGTGCAGATGTCCTCTGTGTCATTTGCTGGTTATCGGCAGTACTTTCCTCTGGCTGTGACAGCATGAGGAAAGTGCAGCTGATAACCAGCAACTGTTTTTACATTGTGATCTGCTGTGTCATTGGACACAGATGATCATGTGGTAAAAGACCGCTGTGATTGGCCTTTTACCTCATCATGTAATTAGCTGTGTCCCTAGCAATCACGGAGAGTGCCGGGTGCGCACTGGGGGCGCGCGGGAGGGCGCATTCTGGGAGGACGTCATATGATGCCCTCCCAGAACTGGACAACCCCACTGTAGCCGTCATTCAACTATAGCGCGTTTGGCAAGTGGTTAAAGGCAGATTAAAAAAAAATCAAAACAAACATGTCTATACTTACCTGCTCTGTGAAGTGGTTTTGCATAGTACATCCCCGATCCTCTTCTTCTTGGGTCCTCCAGCAGCGCTCCTGGCCCCTCCCTCCTGCCAAGTGCCCTCTGGGGGCTTCCGAGCCACTGCTCTGTGTGACCGTTTACACGCAGAGCGTGGCTGAGCCCCACCCCCGCTTTCTCCTCATTGGCTCACTGGCTGTGATTGACAAGAGGAGGGAGTGTTCCACATCGCTGGATTGAGAGGGAGCTCAGGTAAGTATTGGATGGGGGGGGGGGGGGCTGCTGCACACAGGTTTTTACACTGTTTGAGCTCTGACTTCTGGTCAGTACTTTTACCAAACTGACTGAAACTGGTTGTAAATCCTTATATATACCCTGTGAAGTGACTGGCCTCAGGTAATACACAGAGATTAAACAAATCCTTCTACATAAGTTGCACCTGTTGATACGCAGCACTCTCCTCTACAGCCTGCTGAATTTATAAAGCTTGTGTGATGGTTCAGAAAAAATGGGGCGGAGAGCGGAAATTATACTCTGCAGAGCTCAGCAATTTAAATTTCTGAGAGCTGATTGGAGGGAAGAGACACACCCCCTCCACACAGTTCACAGGAACAGAGCTGAGGCTGTCAATCTGCTGAAGGCCACTCCCCTGTCACCATTTTTCTCTTCGTGTCAGGAAAATTTCAGACGTGATTCTTGCTGATAACAGAGGAAAGAGGCAAATCTATATCTCTACCCCTCAGCTCACTCTTATCAGTCTCCTCATGCATCACTAATCTACTAACAGACATTTCGGTCTGGATGTCACACTACTTCCTGAAAATTAATGTATCCCAAACTGAACTCATATAATTTCCTCCCCCACATGCCCCTTCCACTGACTCACTCAACGGCTCAGCCATCAACCTGTCCCCACATACCAGGGTGGTAGGTGCAATCCTGGACTCTGAACTCTCCTTTCGGCCCCACATCCAATCGCTGTCCAAAGCTTGCCACCTCAACCTCTGCAACATCTCCAGGATATGCCCCTCCCTAACCAATGACACCAAAAAGCTTCTAACTCACTCCCTGGTCATCTCCCGCCATGACTGCTGCATCTCCCTCCTCCTTGGATTACCTTTACATAGGCTATCCCCTCTTCAGTCTATCATGAATGCTGCTGCCAGACTCATCCACCTTACCAACCGTTCAGTGTCTGCCACCCCTCTCTGCCAATCCCTCCACTGGCTCCCGCTCTCTTCATTCCTCCTAAGACCTCCTGCTCTCTAGCTCCCTTGTCACCTCCTCCCATGCTCACCTCCAGGATTTTTCCAGAGCTGCTCCCATCCTCTGGAACTACCTTCCCCAATGTGTCCGACTATCTTCATCTCTGTACACTTTTAGACGATCCCTGAAAACTCATCTCTTTAGAGAGGCCTAACCTGCCCCCACCTCTCAATTGTACATGTATTTTGTCTTTTCGCCCATACCACACAGTTATTACCATTTTGTATCTCTCGACCCTCTGTTTTAAATTGCAAGCTCTAACGAGCAGGGCCCTCTGATTACTCCTGTATTAATTTGTATTGTATTGTACGGTTTGCCCTCATGTTATAAAGGGCTGCGTACAGAGTGAGGGTGCAGGGTCCTGCGTACAGGGTGCGCGTGCGCTGCGTACAGGGTGCAGGGTCCTGGCGTGCGCTGCGTACAGGGTGCAGGGTCCTGGCGTGCGCTGCGTGCAGGGTCCTGGCGTGCGCTGCGTGCAGGGTCCTGGCGTGGTACCCAGGGCCTGGCGTGCGCTGCGTACAGGGTGCAGGGTCCTGGCGTGCGCTGCGTACAGGGTGCAGGGTCCTGGCGTGCGCTGCGTACAGGGTGCAGGGTACAGCGTGCGTGCATACAGGGTCCCTGGGTGCACTGCGTACAGGATGCAGGGTCCTGGCGTGCGCTGCGTACAGTGCAGGGTCCTGGCTGTGCGTGTCTGCGTACAGGGTCCTGGCTGCGTACAGGGTGCAGGGTGCAGGGTCCCGGGGTGCGCTGCGGGCCCTGGGGTGCGCGTGCGTCCCGGGGTGTGCTACGTACAGAGTACAGGGGTGCTCCCTTTTCCCCCAGATTGCTTCCTCCTCCCTCAGTACGTGCCACTCAGCTACCAGACTACTGCTATGTTAGTGCATCAGATTCTGTCCTATTATTGTATTTCTCATAGTACAGAGTGCAGGGTCCTGGCGTGCGCTGCATACAGAGTGCAGGGTCCTGGCGTGCGCTGCGTACAGAGTGCACGGTCCTGGCATGCGCTGCGTACAGGGTGCAGGGTCCTGGCGTGCGCTGCGTACAGAGTGCAGAGTCCTGGCGTGCGCTGCGTACAGAGTGCAGGGTCCTGGCGTGCGCTGCGTACAGAGTGCAGGGTGCGCAGGGCAGGGTCCTGGCGTGCGCTGCGTACAGAGTGCAGGGTCCTGGCGTGCGCTGCGTGCAGGGTCCTGGCCGCTGCGTGCGCTGCGCGTACAGAGTGCAGGGTCCTGGCGTGGCGTGCGTACAAGGTGCAGGGCTGCGTTGCGTACAGGGTGCAGGGTCCTGGCGTGCCTGGCAGAGTGTGGGCTGGCGTGCGCTGCGTACAGAGTGCAGGGTCCTGGGTGCGCTGCATACAAGGTGCACGTACGCTATGTACAGAGTACAGGGGTGCTCCCTTTTCCCGCAGTTGCTTCCTCCTCCCTCAGTACAGTGCCACTCATTCTTACCAGACTACTGCCATGTTAGTATTGCATCAGATTCTGTCCTATTATTGTATTTCTCATAGTGGCTGAATTTTATGGGGCTGGATTCTTCAGATAGTAAAAACTATTAAAGCGGAACTTCACTTCCTCAATCAACATTGACTATTTTTAATCCTTATGTTGCTACCATTCATAAACAGATAGGAAAGTATATCATATTTACTTGTCTTAAACTCTTTTTCTTTCAGTTACTTCCTAGTTTTCATGCCTAGGCAAACAATGTCATACATCCCATGAGTCTTCAGGAGGGGAGGAGGAGCTTTCTCAGCTAAGGCAGATGGATTGCAGAATCTAGGAAGTAAATTCATCTGCCCTTACTTAAGATGGCCACGGCCAGAAATGCTGGGGGTTGTTTTTCAAAATGATTTCTCAGCAAAATAAAGCATGGAGACATGGGTGGATGGGGGAGTGTGCTTTGAATGTTAACAATGGATTGCATAGTGTTTTTGTGGTTTGTGCTGCTCAGATGCCGTGTTGTTCCTCTTTATTGTCATTCTTTGTGCATTTATGTATTGTTATATATTGCAGGATGGCATTGCCAACAATGTGGGTAACCCATTTGCAAAGGATTTTCTCCCCAAAATGGAAGATGGTACTTTACAAGCCAGTACTGGAGGCACCAGTGCCACACGTGCCCTGGAAATAAATAAAATGATGTCTTTCTGGAGGAATGCTCAGAAACGTATCAGGTAGGAGTCGGCTGACTCTGTAAGGCCACTAAATGGTGATGGAACCTAAAACATAAGGGGATCTCTTGGGTCCTTTGCACACTGGGGTGTTCAGCTGCAGTGCATCCCTCCCGATGCTTGATTGCACCCAGGAGGGAGAGGTGCAGCGTCCTGCCCGGCTGCAGGTATCCTTTCAACATCTATGGCAGTCTACAGCTGGATGGGGCTGAACACCATGCTGAGTGGTAGCAGAATTTAGGGCCATGTCTGTTCAGGGGCAAGGTTTGGGAACACTTCAGGGGAGTATGTGTTTCATCATCACAGACTATCCCCGCTTCAGTCTATCCTGAACTCAGCGGCCAGACTCATCCACCTTACCCACCGCTCCATATCCGCCACCCCCCTCTGTCATTCCCTCCACTGGCTCCCTATCGCCCAACACATTAAATTCAAACTACTAACACAGACATACAAAGTCATTCATAACGCTGCCCCAAACTACCTCACCGACCTGATACCCAAATACCACCCAACCCATAATCTTCGCTCCTCACAAGACCTCCTACTTTCTAGTTCCCTGGTCTCCACCTCCTACGCCCGACTGCAGGACTTCTCCAGGACTTCCCCCATCCTCTGGAACTCACTACCCCAATCCATCAGACTGTCACCTACCCTCCTCACCTTTGGGCACACTCTGAAAACCCATCTCTTCAGGGAAGCCTACCCCGCCCTCACCTAACAGCCGATCTCCTCCACTCTTCCTACCACTCCATCCCCCACAGCCACTTCCTCCTGTTCCACTTTCCCCTCCCTCTTAGATTGTAAGCCCGAAAGAGCAGGGCCCTCGAACCCCTCGTGTATTGTATTGTTACTGTATTGTCTCATGTTCTGTCCCCCACGCTAATGTACAGCGCTGAGCAAACCTTTCTGGCGCTATATAAATACTGTATAATAATAATAATATACCGAAATATGTCTGAAACAGGAAAAATGCTCCACTCCCACTATGCACCAGCGCTTCCTCTATTCTGCTCTATGTAAGCCCAATGCTATTCGTTATCTCTTAGATTGTAAGCTCCCAGGATCAGGGCCCTCCTAACCCTCTTGTATTGAACAGTATTGTTGCTGTATTGTCTCCCATTATATTGTAACGTGCTGAGTAAACTGTTGGCGCCATATAAATCCTGTATAATAATAATTATGATGTAGTGAAAGTTTCCATGCAGACACAAACATTGTAATGATGAAAGGTTTTGGTCTTCCTATTAGCTGCTCTCATATCGCTTCATATCGAATTAACTGCTTTAAGACCAGGCCTTTTCTGAAACTTCTTTGTTACATGTGAAAATCAGTATTTTTTGCTAGAAAATTGCTTAGACCATTCAAACTGTTTATATTTTTTAAAGCAGAGGCCCTAGGGAATAAAATGATAAAATGGTGGGTGTTGTAATTTTGTCACATGGTATTTGCACAGCGGTATTTCAAATGCAATTTTTTTGGCACAAAAAACACAATATATTTCCCAACTGATTAGTAAAATATAAAAGATTATGTTACTCTGGCAAGTAGATACTAAACATGTCACGCTTTAAAAAATGGCGGCTGAAGCCATTCCTTAACGTTCCTTAACCACTTGCCCTCCTGAGGATTCCCCCCCCCCCCCATCCTGACCAGGCCATTTTTTACTTTACAGCTCTGCATTACTTTAAATGACAATTGCGCAGTCATGCAATGCTGCACCCAAATAAAATTTACGTCTTTTTTTCTCCACGAATTGAGCTTTCTTTCAGTGGAATTTGATTACCTGCAGTTTTTATTTTTTGTGCTATAAACAAAAAAAAGACTGACAATTTTGAAAAAAAAATCAATATTTTTGACTTTTTGCTATTAAACATGTCCAGTAAAAAATTAAAAAAAATCAAATTTCATCATAAATTTACACCAAAATGTATTCTGCTCCATGTCTTTGCTGGAAAAAAAAATCCCAATACGTGTAAATTAATTGATTTATGTGAAAGTTATAGCGTCTACAAATGGCGGTATATATACTGGGATTTTTTTTTTTTTTTAATTTTCATTAGTAATGGCGGCGATCAGTGACTTATAGCGGGACTGTGGCGGGCATTCTGACACTGCTTTGGATGGTTGTGCTATGCAAAGCAGAATGCCGGAGCCAACAGGAAGGAGAACTGTTTTGTTTACAACAGTTCTCCTCCCGTCGGAGATCCACGGCAATCACTGAGCGGACGCGAATGGCAGCGTGGGTACCCGGAAATGCAAAATCACGCGTGTATGTATATATATATATATATATATATGTTTATATAAATATATATACGTGATTTTGCACACCCATGCCGCCCTGTAGCAGTATAGCAGCTATAGGGCGGACGGGAAGCGGTTAAAGGATAAGTTCACCTTTTGAACAAAAATAATAAATGTACATTTTTTTTGTGGGTAAAAAAATGTGCATGTATTATTTTTGTCCAAAGGAGCCTGGAAAGCATTTCACCAGCGATTACACCCCAGATCTCTGCTCTCCCCTTAAAAGCTTCAAGTCATACCAAGTTCAGTATGATCCGTGGATTTTGTCAAACCACCAATGGTTTGTTTACAATCAGCGAAACTGGAGTTGACAAAATGCTCGTTGCTTCCAGTTTCTTAGACTATAGAGATGATTGGGGTTGTTCCAATCTCTGATCAGGTCGGGGGGGGGGGGGGGGGTAGGACCCCTCTGCCACTTGTAAAATCAATCCAGTGGCTTTTTAGTCATTAGGATTGCTTTTATAAGAAGACTGACTGCCAGCTGGAAAAAAAAAAAACATTACAAGGATCATCCAGGTGTAGCCACTCATAGTCCAGCGATGTTCCAGTGCGATTATGTCAGTCTTGTTTGATTATGCCTATTGATCAGAGGCGTACCTAGGGTTGGTGTCACCCGTTGCGGTAACACATGGTGTCACCCCTCCTGAGAGGATGGAGCGGTGCTGGTGCAGCGGTAAAATGAGTATCCCTTGAAGAAACTGCACATGTGACTGTTTCAGGCTGAAGAAGTCAATCTCTGACTTTAGCACAGAGCCGCCAATTGGCTTCTTCGACCTGAAACCGGCACATGTGCAGTTGCTTCAGGGGATACTCATTTTACTGCTACACCAGGGCGGGGGGCAGCTGTCACTGTGCCGGCATCCTGCTCCTGCACCCCCTGTGATGGTGTCACCTGGTGCAGCCCGCACCCCCCTAGGGACGCCACTGCTGTTGATATTGCCAGATCCTTCTTTTTCAAAAAACCTCATGCAAATTTTAGTTAAAATATCATTTTTCTGCCTTATTGGTATGTATATAATGCTTACTCCTCTCTCTATTGCAGTTCCCAGAAGGTGGTGTGGCTGAAAAAGGGAGAATTGCCCCGAACAGTCACTAGGTATTGTGCACCTGTATTAAGCCCGTGTATTTCTTCTCATTTAGTGAGTGCCTGTTTTATGGGGATGCAGGAGCCATTTTATGGGGATGCAGGAACCATTTTATGGGGATGCAGGAACCATTTTATGGGGATGCAGGAACCATTTTATGGGGATGCAGGAACCATTTTATGGGGATGCAGGAACCATTTTATGGGGATGCAGGAACCATGAGCAATTGCTGGGGCTTTGCATTTAGTCCAGTGTTGTGATCTTATAGAAATTGGGCTAAAAAATAGCTCAAAAAACTTTCGTTTAATTTTAGTTGTTTTTGTCACATTACTATAGTATTTATAAAGCATTTGTAAAATAACTATCAGTAAGCATGCAATGTGCTTCACCATAAAATGTTTCATTTATTTTAGGAGCCTGGATTTTGATGAAGAAAATAAGCACGGTGCTGTACTTCCTCAGGTGGTCACTGCTGGAACGATCACAAGAAGAGCGGTAGAGCCAACGTGGCTGACTGCCAGCAATGCACGGGTAGGTTACCGGTGATCATTTTGCATTTATGAATATCCTAGCAGCAAGTGTTAGTGCTCAAAGTGATTGTAAACACTCAAAGGCTGCGATTGGCAGCGGCAGAAGCCAATGGCTCCCGCTGCTGACTTTCTGTCCCTGTGAGGAGGGAGAGAGAGCCTCCGCTCTCGTGCACAGCGCTGGATCAAGATCGGGCTCAGGTACATATAAGGTGGAGCTGGGGTATCCTGGTCACAGAAGGTTTTGTATCTTAAAGTGGAGTTCCAGCTGAAAAAAAAAATAAATAAAAGTCAGCAGCTACAAAAACTGTAGCTGCTGACTTTTAAAATACAGACACTTACCTCTCCCTTGGTTCGGGGATGTCCTCACCTTGGCTGGTTTCACCGGCCGTCTTGTCTCCCTGGCGCTGGCATCTTTAGTTTGGGCACCCGGCTGTGACAGCTTGAGGCTTCATAGCCGGGTGCCCACTGCGCTAAGCTTTGTGAATGGCCCTGTTGTCTTCTGGGACCTGTCACTTGTCCTGGAAGACTATGGAGAGAGGGAAGGACAACTTCCGCTTCTGGTCGCCTAAGCAATCGCAGCAGAAGTGGGGGCGGGTACATGTAAATTCGGGTATCCGCTCCCCAAAGGTGCCAATCCTTAATGGGGAGCGGGGAACAAAGCATTAAAGCAGAACTTCCCCTTTTGGGTGGAGCTCCGCTTTAATGCAGAGAATAGATTAAGGAAAAAAAAACTGCTAGCTTTACAACCACAAAGGTATTAACATTAGACATCCATGTATAATCAGAAGATACAATGGACATGTGATTTCCACCTGCATTTACTGTATATACATGACTTGGCCTGCATTGGTATGCCCTAATATGTCTAAAATCCTATAGTGTTGTCTCATGAGATTCTCTCAAGAGTTGGCTCTGGCCAGCTCAGTGGATTGCTTCAAAAAAGTCCTGGATTCTTTCCTAGATACACAGAATATAACTGGATACTAACATTTATAGGTAACCCAGGTTGATCCAGGGAATATCCGATTGGAGTTTTATTTGTTTCGTTTTTGAAGCCTTACAATGGTCTGTTTCACTTGCATGGACAGCTCCTTTGAACGCATGATGTAGGTTCACAGCAATAGATTCCAAATGCAAATACCACACTTAGAATCAACTCCAGACCTTTTATCTGCTTAATTGAGGAAGAAATAACAAAGGAGTAGCCCACACCTGGCCATGAAACGGCTTTTGATTCAATTGCCCAATTACTTTTGGTCCCTTGAAAAAGGGGGGATGGCTACTCTTAAGAGCTGTAATTCCTAAATCCTTCCTCCAATGTGGATGTACATACCCTCAAACTAAACCTGAGACTGTGCACTTTCAGCCCATATCCATTATATAACTATAGCTTGAATATGTTTGTTAAATACCTGAAAAAAAAATAAAATTGTGCCTGTGTCCAAATATGTATGGACCTAAAAACTGTGTGTATAGTTAAATCCTCACCATTTGAGCGTGTACAGAGATCCCTGTTGAAATTGTCTAATCATCTGTTAACCCCTTCACGCCGGCCGCACACAGATGTGCGGCCTCCCGGTGTCTGGGCCTAGACGCCGAGCGGCCGCACATTTGCGTTCAGGTAAGAAAAAAACATATGTGCTGAGAGCTCGCGCCCTGCGCGCTCCCAGCACACATGTCCGCTACTCACGGAAAGGTCCCGGTCTGCTCTTTCGATCAGGACCTTTCCCGATCATGTAACCGCCGTGACAACGCGTCACGGCGGTCACATGATCCCGAAACCCCGCCTCACCTCCCGGCTTCTGAAACTCTTAAAGGGCCGGGAGGCACCGGCGGGAAGGGGTTAAAATGTGTGGGAGATTTAAATTAGAGATCAGAAGAGAACATTCGATAATATTTTGCTGTCCATGCAGCAGTAAAAAAGAGAAATGTCTGATATTTGCTTGAAACAAAAGGCTGATATCTAAGCGTCATTTAGAAAAAGTGAATGTTCTTTTGGGGCCACTTGATTTTTCTTTCGGTCTGACCAAATGGAGGCTTTGTGTTTGCAGAGGATTTTTCTTTTAAAGCGGAGTTCCATTCACTCTGTAAAAACATAAAAGTCAGCAGCTACAAAAACTGTAGCTGCTGACTTTTATAAAAAACAGCCACTTACTGTCCCTCGATCCTGCGGTTCCCCCACTGCAGCCCGTTTTCACCGGCTGTCCTGTATTCCAGGCGCCGGCATCTTCGGTGTGTGCACCCGGCTGTGACAGCTTGCAGCTTCACAGCCGGGTGCCCACTGCGCATGCGCGAGTAGCGCTGCATTTCCTGAATGGCCCCTTCGTCTTCTGGGACTTGTTACGTGTCCCACAAGACTAGAGGGAAGGAAGGGTAGAAGGATAACTTCCGCTTCCGATCACCTAGACGATCGCAGTGGGAGCGGGTACCTGTCAGTTTCAGGTACCCGCTCCCCAAAGGTGCCAATCCTTAATGGGGAGCAATCTTTACAATATATATATAAAGTGCTGTGTAAATTGATGGCGCTATATAAGTACCTGAAATAAATAAATAATAACGCGGAACTTCCCCTTTTGGGTGGAACTCCGCTTTAAGGTTCTCCTAAGTAATGCAGCTTCTTTATGGCCATGTACAGTAACACTTTGCTAAGGTCTTGATAAGATGGCAATTAGATCACAACTTGTAGGTTTCACTAAACACCATGAGAAGTCCAGCTATCCATGTGTACAAACTCTTGGAGGGACACAAAGATTCTTTGGCCTTGTGAACCCCTAACATGTATCTGCATTGGCAGTCTTTGCATGTTTGCACATTTTGTAGAACACCTCCTTATGGCAACAGTGTGGAACCTGCCAGCTTGCAGTGTGCTCCATATTAAGCCGGCCATACATCGATCGACATTTGTCCGGATCTAACAGTGTGGAACCTGTCCAGCTTGCAGTGTGTTCCATATTAAGCCGGCATACATCGATCGACATTTGTCCGGATCTAACAGTGTGGAAACCTGTCCAGCTTGCAATGTGTTCCATATTAGGCCGGCCATACATCGATCGACATTTGTCCAGACCTAACAGTGTGGAACCTGTCCAGCTTGCAGTGTGTTCCATATTAAGCCGGCCATACATCGATCGACATTTGTCCGGATCTAACAATGTGGAACCTGTCCAGCTTGCAGTGTGTTCCATATTAGGCCGGCCATACATCGATCGACATTTGTCCGGATCTAACAGTGTGGCCAGTTTTAATCAGAATCTAACAATCTGTAGTTGCTGTATCTCTGCATCCATACTGCGGTCGTATTTTATGTTCCTTGAACCCAACCATAAGCTGAGGTCACACCGTGTTTGACTCCCAGAACATTTCCATAACCCAAAAGGAAGGATTTGGAGTTTCCTCATTTTAGGAAGAAAAAGAAAACAGATTAACCATGTGATCAGAATGCTGTCATCTCCCTTCTACACATTACTATCACATATCTGTATTTGCCCCAACTCAAGGCAGCCTGGAAAACCTCTGATATTTGGGCAATAAATAAGGGCTCATGTACACTGCAGCTGCTAAACTGACGTTCAGGAGGTGTTGAGCGATTTTTTTTTTTTTTTCTTTTTTTTTTTTTTCAGCAGCCCCTGAACTCCCCCTCATGTTTTCCTATGTGTCCATGTACACATCGTCATTTACAGGCAGCTGAGTTTACAGTCGTTTTTTTGAATGCACCAAAATTGCGTTCAGGAGTAGATTTTACCGGCATTTCAAACGCCAAATGCTTGTAAATGCGGTTAACCGCGTTTACTTGCATTTAGAAGCGTTTTTTGACAGGTCCATATCCAGATGCTGTCCGGAGCCTTTTTTCATCATCAGAAATGCATGTAAAGCGTTTTCCATGTATTCAAATGGACCCGGTACACCAGCACAGCCAGTTCCAGGTTTCGCGTGAAGGAACAAATTTTAGAACGTGCCGCATTATGCATGATGGGATCCATAGTGAATACAACCAGAAAAGACAGGTCATCTCAACACATACTGCTCTCTCTGCTTCTGCTCTCTCTATTCCTCTCAAAATGTCTGAAATAGTTAATTATCTACTATTTTTCAGTGCATTCTGAACATTTGGGAAGGTCTGAGGTTATCTTTTAAAAACGCGGCTAAACACGCATAAGCGCGGTATGCAAACGCGTCTAAACTGACTTTTTTCAACCTACTTTTCTAGCAGTCAGTTTCCAGCAGTCAGAAGAGTTTTCCAAACGCCCCGTGTACATGAGCCCTAAGTGTGTAGAAGTCCCATACATAGGTAATGAATGTATAGCTTGTTTTACCTAAAATCAGAATGTTTGATTGTTTGTAGATAATTGTAGCTTTGCTGTGTTTTTTCTGTAGTCTGTTGTGTTTGCTTTTGATGGATTGCTGTTCTTCCAGGCAGATCGCATTGGCAGTGAACTGAAGGCTATGATTCAGGCCCCTCCGGGATATCACATCGTTGGAGCAGATGTGGATTCACAGGAGCTCTGGATTGCAGCCATCCTTGGAGAGGCTCACTTTGCTGGAATTCATGGTATTGCGTATTTACTAATACAATCTTATTATTTTTTCTGTTGCTACAAAGGTATATTTGGGAAAGGGGTGCTAAAGTAGTATGTATTCAGTTCTGCCACACAAGTCCCTGAAATAAGGGGCATAGTGTGTGTGAATAAATAAATATATATACAGTGGATATATAAAAGTCTACACACCCCTGTTAAAATGTTGGGTTTCTGTGATGTAAGAAAATGAGACAAAGATAAATCATTTCAGAACTTTTTCCACCTTTAATGTAACCTATAAACTGTACAACTCAGTTGAACAACAAACAAATCTTTTAGATGGAGGGAAATAAAATAAAAACTAAAATACTATGGTTGCATAAGTGTGCACACCCTTAAACGAATCCTTTGTTGAAGCACCTTTTGATGTGATTCCAGCACTCAGTGTTTTTGGGTATGAGTCGATCAGCATGGCACATCTTGACTCGACTTGATTTGCCCACTCTTCCTTGCAAAAACACTCCAAATCTGTCAGATTGCGAGGGCATCTCCTGTGCACAGCCCTCTTCAGATCACTCCACAGATTTTCCATCGGATTCAGGTCTGGGCTCTGGCTGGGCCATTCCAAAACTCTAATCATCTTCTGGTGAAGCCATTCCTTTGTTGATTTGGATGTACAGTATGCTTTGGGTCGTTGTCCTGCTGAAAGATAAAGTTCCTCTTCATGTTCAGCTTCCTTGCACAAAACCTTCAGGCTTCTGCCAATATTGACTGGTATTGGAAATGTTCATAATTCCCTCTACCTTGACTAAGGCCCCAGTTCCAGCTGAAGAAAAACAGCCCCAAAACATGATGCTGCCACCACCATGCTTCACGGTGGGTATGGTGTTCTGTTGGTGATGTGCAGTGTTGTTTTGTGCCAAAAATATCTTTTGGAATTACAGGTGTACCTCGGTTTACGAATGCCTCGGTTTATTATTATTATACAGTATTCATATAGCGCCAGAAGGTTTGCTCAGCGCTGTACATTATAGTGGGGGACAGAACATGAGACAATACAGTAACAAAACCATACACGAGGGGTTCGAGGGCCCTGCTCTCTCGAGCTTACAATCTAGGAGATTATGAATGAGAATCCATTGAAAATAATGCCTCGGTTTACAAATTTTTTTCTCAATACAAAGTGTATGTCGGTGCCAATTTTTAAATGCAATTGACGGCTTTTTTTTTCTTCACTATAGCTCACAGAATTAGCTGTCACTTTCCCGGAGTTAAGAAACTAAAATGAAACATTGTTTCTTTTAACGCAGGGAAATAAACTAAAAGGAAACTTTCTTTCTTTTAGCTGGGGGGAAAGTGACAGCTGAATCTCTGAGTTATAGTGAAGAAAAAAAAAAGAGGTAATTACATTTAAAAACTGGCACCATAATAAATAAAAAACAGTGTGAGATCCCCCCTCCCATCCATACCAAACCCTTAGGATCTGGTATGGATTTTGAGGGGAACTCCCATGCCAAAAAAAAAAAATGGCGTTGGGGCCCCCCCCTAAAATCTATACCAGACCCTTAATCTGAGCATGCAGGTCAGGAAAGGGGGGGGGACGAGCAAGCAACCGCCCCTCCTGAACAATACTAGGCCACATGCCCTCAACATGGGGTGGGGGGGCAAGGTCCTCTTCCCCACAACCCTGAGCGGTGGTTGTGGGGGTCTGCAGGCAGGGGGCTTTTTGGAATCTGGGCCCCCAGATCCCGCCTCTATGTGACTGAGCATGGGGTCCATGATACCGCTACTTATTCACAAAAAAAACAAAAAGTGTAGTGTGAAAAAAGACAGGACACGGTCTTTGACAAGCCCTTTATTAAAGGAAAAAATAAAAATCTCCCCCGCAGTAGATCCAACATCAATCATGATGCCCGCCACCGCGAAAATATTTAGTTTTTTTTGGGAGACGCAACTTCTTGCAGTAAAAAAATATTTTGTTTTGCATAACTTTTTTTCATCACATAGGGGACACAAAGTCTCCTATGTGATGATTGTTAGGTGACAGGTTCTCCTTAATGAGACATACAGGGTCTAAAGACCCTGCATGTCTCTTCTGGGCTTCACTGAATGTATTGCAATGCATTTTTCTCCCCGGCTAGAATGGAAAGTGACATGGGTGACCCAGAAGTGACGTCATACACAGTGCTTTCTGGGTCACACCAAGAAGAGGAGGAGAGCAGAGGTGTGCTCTCCTCCCTCCCCTCCGCCCACCTCCCGGGGCCCGCAGATGGGCAAGTGGAGCCAGGAATACATGGCTGGGGTGCACGTGCGGGGAGGGGGGTTACCGCTGCTTGTCAGTTTTATCTACAATCCTGGTGGCTGCAGCCACTGAATTGTGTGTAAACCCCCCGTGTGGCATATGGACCTGGCAGTGAAAGGGTTAAAGCAGAACTAAACTCTCACAGACATTTATTATTTTTAATCCTTATGCTAAGTAAATAGATAGTAAGGTATATTATATTTACTTTTTGGGCATTTTCAGGAGAGGAGCGGCTTTCTCAGCTAAGCACACCCTTCTGCCTGCATACCTGAGCTAAGGGCAGATGGATTCCAGGAAGTAAATCCTTCCTGAATCATCCGCCCTTACTCAAGATGATCGTGGCTTGAAATGCTAGGGGGCGGGGGGGGGGGGTTCAAAGTATATTTTTCAACAAAATAATGCATGGAGACCCTGAATTTGTTTTGAATATTAAAAATGAATCAAAGGGCGATTTCAGTTTGTGGTGCTCTGATGCAGTTAAGTTCTGCTTTATTTAACATACAGCAATGTTTACATCGGTTTTAAAAGTGATTGAAGGTCTGAAGTTATTTAACATTCACTACACCTACTAATCATAAGATTTAACCCTTTTTTATCTGCCAACAACTTGAGGCAAATGGTGGCACAGAACCACTTCTAGGTGGCCAAACCAGTATGCCTTACGTGGTTTGCAGTCCCCCTTCTTCTGCAATAAGTTCTCTTCAGCTCACCTTATATTTATTATACCAGCCCTGTGCTTTCAGAAAATGTATATTATGGTGGGGGTCATTTACAAACTCTGAAAACTGTAGGGGAAAAAAATTAAACAAAAAAATTGGAAAAATTGGCCACCTGAGTTTAAAAGTGGAGCACGGGACATGGCAGCGAAAGGGTTAAAGGCGTTGTATATTTTCAAATAATTTAATGTTTTTGTTTGTTTTTTTTAACCTTGTAATGATTGGCTCACATGTTGTGGCTGTACTTTGTAGAATCATGGCTGATTGAGTCCCTGTGTCCATGTATTCATTCACCTAGCTTGTCCCTATTCACTAAAGGGGCAAGATAACTTCTTCCGGGTCATACAGCATGTGAAGAAACACATTTCTTCCAGCATAGTGATCTCTCTATGAACACTCTGCCCGTTTGTGGTTGTATCAGATCTAATTACTGCATTTGCAGAATACTAGACTGAGAGACCTAAGGATTGTGGGATATATAGTTTCTTCATGGGAAATGTCAGTTCTTAGACTACAGACTGAGGTCATGCATTAAACTGCGCAGTGCCATGCTACATGCCTCATGTTTGACCACAAACAGAAACATTTTACAGCGGAACGTGAAGATTTACCCTACTACAGGCTGTGCGTACAGGACAACAAATGACATTGTGAAACCACATGATCAGTTCACGTTCTATGAAGGTGCAAGTAGGAAGGTTTGTAATGTCTTTGAGTTATGTTGGTATCACTGGATAGATCCCAGAGCAGCATGTTCTCTAGGAAAGATAAATATATCATCCCTCCCATTACTGTTTCTGTATCTCCGCAAGATTGTTATTATAGCTTTAAAATGGTTCTAAAGGCAGAAGGTTTTCTACCTTAATGCATTGTATGCAAGCAGCTCCCCCCACCCCCATACTTACCTGAGCCTGATCTCAATCCAGCGATGTCTACAAGAGCCAAGGCTTTCTAGGCTCTATCTCTTCTCATTGGCTCAGACACAACAGCAGGGTTTATTGGCTCCAGCTGCTGTCAATCACAACCAGGAGTGAGTTGGAGGAGGGGACCCACGATCCGTTTTTGGATTTGGCATAAACATGAAAGCATGGATCCATCCTGCCTTGTATCAAAGGTTCAGGCTGCGGGTGGACTGATGTGGGGGATATTTTCATGGTACTAGCAAGGTGTACCTAATAATAAAGTACCGGTGAGTGTATGTTACCAAAATTAGTGTGTGCTGCAAATTTCCTCCATCATTGTTCCTTTTTCTTCTTTCTGGAGGCTGCCATTTTACTAAAGCCCAGATCCCCCAAGCAGAAGTAAATCTTTAGACTGTCCGCAGATCGGCCTCTAGATTTGCGGCACAGTGCCGAAAAACAGAGAGAAACTGAGCATGTGCAGAACAAGACACGGTGTATTACTGGATTTTAACCCCTTCACGCCTAAGGGTAAAACAAATCTAAATGCCTAAGCACAATTTTGCAACATTGACATGTGTTAGTAAAACCGTACATATCATCACAATTACTTTGTACATCCAGGTGGATTATACCTCGTTTTTTCATTACAAATTGGGCTTTCATTTGGTGGTAAATGGTAATAAATATCTCCTGATTTTTTCTTTATTATCAAAGGAAAACTGGCCCAAAATAGTAAAAAAAAAAAAAATTTTTTTTTTTGTTTATTTAGCTGTGTGTTTCTTGTTACTACCATAACCTACCACCAAAGAACAACCCAAAATAAATTCTCCAGCTCTTGACGATCGCAGCGATACCATATATGTGTGTTATTTGCTGTTTGTACCCGTAGTACAGCCCAGAAACAATAGTGTGCATTTTGTTTCTCTTTTTTTTTTTTTTTTTTACCTAAAACACACTGACACTGATACCAATTCTTTCTTTAAATCCTGACCTTTGACCCTGACCTTGACCCAAACACTTACCCTGGCACTGAACTAGATCAAACCTAGGTATTTGATATGATCTAGGTATTTTTATTTTCTTTATTTATTTTTAATATTTATCTTGTTTGTTTAAAAAAAAAAAAATGTTCCCCTCTATGCCAGGAGTTAGAGAGATACAATGTATCTCTCTCATCAATTCATAGAAAAAACAAGGGGGCCGGGCTGTACAGTGACTGATCACCGTGATAGCCAACAGAGGCTATCACAGCGATCATGTGACCCAGAATCGGGAGTCCCAGGTCGCGATCGTTAGAACGGGACCCAGTGCTCTCAGTGACACCGCGGTCTTTGTTCTGGGAGTGCACTGTGCAGCGCGCTCCCAGCACAAAGACAGGCGTGAAAATATGCGGCCCCACGGAAAAAAGCCCAGTTCTGTGAGGCCGCATATTTGTGTTACGTCGGCGTCAAGGGGTTAAACAGTATAGGAACCTATTTTTAATGGTTTACATAGCTATACTTGCAAAAGGGACCAGCCTGAAGTGATCTGCCAAGACTTAATTTTCTGAATAAAGTTCCACTTTAACCACTTGACACCGACGTCACACAAATATGTGGCCTCACAGAACTGGGCTTTTTTCCGTGGGGCCGCATATTTGCGGACCTGTCTTTGTGCTCGGCACGCTCCCAGCACAAAGACTGAGGTGTCACTGAGAGCCCCGAGTCCCGTTCTAACGATCAGGACCCGGGACTCCCGATTCCGGGTCACATGATTGCTGTGATAGCCTCTGATTGGCTATCACAGTGATCAGTCACTGTACAGCCCGGCCCCCTTGCTTTTTTCTCTCTCTATGAATGGAGAAGAGAAATACATTGTATCTCTCTAACTCCTGGCATAGAGAGAAAAAAAAATGTTTTCTGGGGAAATTGTGTGAAGTGTTCTTGCCTCCACCAGTAGTCTACAACTGGAGTGGGCGGAGTAACTGGGTGGAGTGGCTGGAGTAACTGTTGTGTGGTTGGAGTGGCCAACTTGCTCACTTCACTGGCGGTTGCCATCTTCAAACAGTTGTAGTTTAAAAATTATAAATCATACACCGAAGAGCTTTATATTGTGAGAATCACAAGACCCAGACCTACATTTTGAAATATTAAAAATGAAGGCACAGTCGCAGTTTAGAAATTGCCCTTCAATTTGAGGTGGCTAGAGTGGAGTTTCAATGAATGTCAATAAGCGGCGTGAGTTGCAAACAAATGATCATATTGTGAAAATATCAGGACTATGGCTTAGCCATGGACATTTTTTAGTGGCAGCAGGGATAGCTGAACGTTTTGATATAAGATTTGTGTAGGTGGGCTTGAAAATGAGGGATTGATGGCAGTTTAGAAATCATGTCCTGATTTTTCTGCTCACACTCTAGCTTTGTCAGCTCCCACTCTAGTTTTGAACATTCCGCCATTCATTCCTATGGGACCAATTTCACCACAAAAAGCCTATATTTCGTGAACAATTTGGCAAAACATTCCACAAAGTAATAGCACACCAATCGGGAACAATCCGCACGTTTCGGTGTATTACTGTCTATGTTGTGTAAAAACTGTGGGAGGAGTTAGGGTGGTAAATTTGTCTATAATAATAAGAATATATATGTGAGATAACAGGAAGTGGTCGCCATGCAAGAACACTTAATAAATATTAAAAGATAAAGAAAAATAGCTAGATCAAGGTTTGATCTAGTTCAGTCAGCCAGGTTTTAGTGTTTGGGTCAGGGTCAAGGTCAGGATTTGAAAAAAAATTTGATTTTAGTGTCAGTGTGTTTTAGGTAAATAAAAAAAAAAAAGACAAAAACAAAATTCAGGATTTAAAGAAAGAATTGGTATCAGTGTGTTTTAGGTAAACAAAAAAAAAAGAGAAACAAAACGCACTATTGTTTCTGGCGATTGCTACGGGTACAAACAACAAATAACATATACACATGTGGTATCGCTGCGATCGTCAAGAGCTGGAGAATTTATTTTGGGTTGTTCTTTGGTGGTAGGTTATGGTCGTAACAAGAAACACGCAGCTAAATAAAAAAAAAATATTTTTTTTTACTATTTTGGGCCAGTTTTCCTTTGATAATAAAAAAAAAAATCAGGAGCTATCCATTACCATTTACCACCAAATGAAAAAGCATAATTTGTCCTGAAAAAATCAAGGTATAATCCACCTGGATGCACAAAGTAGTTGCGATGATATGTACGGTTTTACTAACACATGTCAACGTTGCAAAATTGTGCTTAGGCATTTACTTTTGTTTTACCCTTAGGCGTGAAGGGGTTAAGTTAATATTTCGCTAGGCCTCTTTAATGACTTGGTTATGTAGCAGGACTGCATGGCACAACTGAAAATGTGTAACACTGCCAACGTGCTTACAATGAAATGGTTGGTAATCCCAGAAGATAAAACATGGATTGTAAAGCAGATGAATTTATAGCTATACTGGACTAATCAGCATCGTATGGTTCTAATTACCATCATTCTTTGTTGATTCTCTGCTCCCTTTCTGTTGAGCATTACAGTACAGTATAGTTCTGGGCTTTTCAGGTTGCACTGCCTTCGGATGGATGACGTTACAAGGTAAAAAGAGCAGCGGCACTGATCTGCACAGCAAGACGGCCTCCACTGTGGGAATAAGTCGAGAACATGCCAAGGTCTTCAATTATGGTCGTATTTATGGTGCCGGGCAGCCCTTTGCTGAACGTCTGCTGATGCAGTTTAATCATAGACTCACTCAGGAAGAAGCGGTGGTGAAAGCCAAACAAATGTACGCAGCAACAAAGGGAGTCAGGAGGTGAGTGGCAACAAATGGTTTGGAAACGTACGTCGGTATAAAGATAGAATTGTGCTGAAAAGGAATACAACCTTTGTGTGGACAATAGCTGGTAGATCATTGCAGCTGAAGGTGTGACTCACAGGAGCGATAGGAATATGTCCATGCCAAGGTTGGGCTCTTCAACTTGCTATTCATGTTATACTGGGCAGCACAGTGGCTAAATGGTTAGCACTTTCACCTGGCAGTACTAGGGTTGTTGGTTCGAATCCCAACCATGGCACCACCTGCCTGGAGTTTGCATGTTCTCCCTGTGCCTGTGTGGATCTCCTCCCACACTCCAAAGACATGCTGGTAGGTTAATTGGTTCCTGTCTAAATTGCCCTAGTATGTATGAATGTGAGTTAGGGACCTTAGATTGTACTCCCCTTGAGGGTTAGGGACTGATGT